GTATTGGATTCAGGACCACATATCCAAGTGGCCTGGGTCGCATTGGAAAAAATCTGATCTGTGTTGTTCAGACTGCCATGAAAAGATCAGATCCAGGTCGCTTATCAGCCAAAAAAACGGATTTGGGTAACTTCAGGCTGCAGTGTGAATGTAGCCATAGTCTACTTGCAAATGTACAATTTGAATACAAACAAGACAACCAGACCAGTTCAAAAAAATAATGTCAATTTTTGCTTTAGACCAAAACGGTCATGATCTTTGCACTGATGAATGGCTGGATAACTCATTTTATTCACCTGCTTAGCTACGCCCATTTTCTCATTACAGTTCATCTGATCCACCTGCTGTTGGGATCCTCAGGCTTGCCCACCAGAGGGCGCCGAGGGTCCTCTTCTGTTCTGTGTATTTTTCCCCTAGGGCTGGAATCCTCCTGCACACCTGTTGCTAATCCTCTCATCAGAAGACCTCTCCTTTATAAGCTCCTGCCTGACCTTGCTTCCACGCCGCAGTGTTGATCTTAGTTGGTCAGCTTCCAGAGCCTCTATTACTGATTAAATCTTGGTAGTCTCTAGAGTGAGATCTGATTCTAATCTCTCCTTTGTCTGTGCCTCACAGGAAACCTGTCTCTGGTCTGAAGCTCAGGAAGAGCTGCCTCAGTGGAACCCTGTCTTTGGTCTGAAGCTCTGGGAGAGCTGCATCACAGGAAACCAGTCTCAAGCCTGAAGCTCTAAGAGAGCTAACCTGCTAATCTGCCCTGGTGAGCCAACCTGAAGGTTCCTATGTGGATTCACCCTGAAGATTCCTATGTGGATGTTCCCTGTTGTTCTCTGCAATGAGCTGGAAGCTCACCCTGAAGAATCCTATGTGGATTTTCCCTGTTGTTCTCTGCAGTGAGCTGGATGCTCAGATCAAGGTCAGTCATGCTAAGCCTGAAGCTAGATGCTTAGCTTCTTATAAGCTCTGCTAACCAACAGTCCCCAGTCCCAGTCAAGACTCTAGTGAACCAGCCCTGAACTTGTTCCTGATTAAGTTCTTTATTGTGTGTTCTGTGAACCATAATAAACTCTGTTGAACTTTTACCCCGTCTTCTGTGTGTGTTCTGCATTTTGGGCTTTACTCCTAGAACCCATCATGACACCTGCCAGCCCTCTAGCCAGTCATCAGTGTCAGATTATTCTCAAGCCAGAGGTGAGTGTTTCAGCTTTACCTTAGTGTTTTTGATTACCTAATCCTGACCTGCTCTGCATCTCAACCACTGAGCCTGTCTGGTCTCATCTGATCTATTTGCCTGTCTTTGGACTACTGCTGGATTCTGTCTGTTTACTGAACTTGGAATGTCTTTCTGACACCGACCTGGATTTCCCCTCTGAGCCTCTTTGGACTTCTGATCTCCTGGTTCTGTATTCTCAGCATGTCCTCGACACCAGCTCAGGCTTCGTCCTCTGGATTATCCTGCCTTCCTTTGTCTGCCCAGATCTGGTCTCCTGCTTGTTCTCCGTCATTCTGGGACAATCTAGGTGCAGCCCAACACCTCTTGTTGACAGCCCACCGGCTGGATCCTACCTCGTTTTCTGGGCACGGTCTGAACTATTAAAATAGCTTAATCTCTGTCAGATTAACGTGGTCACTAACCTGTGGTTTAGTCGTGCAAAGGTTCCTGCCTTAATCCTTGCTGTAACTACAGGTCAGCCGTTTTTAAATAAATGCTTTTGAATTGTCAGACTGTCGGTCTGCCTTGAATACTGGGTCCCCTATTCTGAGCCTTGACACAAACAAGCAGACTGATGGATTTGTTCTTATGTGAATATACCCTTATGTTCTGTAAGCTAATCAAGAAAGCTTTGACTGTGCCTTCAGCTAACCGAGAGCAGTGGGTAACATCTACTCAGTTACAGTTACTTTGAATCACTTTTTGACAAATGTTTATTGTCAGTAGTTTTTGTACACCATACTTTTTATGCCTGTGTGTATTCTCAGTCATGGCAACCACAAACGGGGCTAAATTGGAAGGCAAGCGGACTTTTGCTTAGTTTCTTTGAAGACGTTTTGACACCTATCCAGGAGTCTTTGTCAATTCTGTAAGCTCACACCAGAGCCAACTTTAGTTGGAGCACTGATTTATTTAAGCAGCATGGAGGTTCACACTCCTACACATATTCCAAGTAAGATGCTATTCAATTAGCCGCCCATGTGGTTTCAGCTTTCAAGCATTTACAATTCAGTCATGGAACTCATTTCCAATAAGTTACATAAGCACTCCCATTGTAAATCAAAAGACCAATCCAAGAGGCCATGCACAACAAAGGGCTCCAACAATCCAGTTGAACAAAGGGTGGCTATTTGATTGGCATCCCACTTGGACTGAAACCAAATGTTTCAGTGGAGACCAATGGTGGAGACGATAGGTCCAGCATATTTTATTTTATTTTTACTTTCACACAAACAGAGAAGGTCCTCTATCTTCTCCATATAGCTATCATATCTACCATCTGTGCACAGTGCTGTTGCAAATTCCTGCTTCCTTTGGGATAAGACAAATAAATCCACTTTGCTCTCTCAAACTCTCCACGATAAAAGTTATCAATTTGGCATGCCATCTTAGTAGATCCGCTTTAACTCGCATACTAATTACATGTCACCTATCAATAATTAATCATGGTGCTAGTAGTCTGTTGGTCTGGGTAACTCTTGCTGTTTGGGACTCAACCAATGAGCTGTAAACTATAGAACCATTCATTCTGCTATCAGGTGAAACACCTTCTTGGAGAATACTCCACCAGGATTTTTTTTTATCATGTGCTCTATTTATTTAGAACAACATATCGAAAGCATACCAGCAAGAAAACCTTCAACAGAAATCAATCTATGAAAAAGTTGTGGAGCGGAGTCTGCATGAACCTGACTGAGGTGTAACTTTCTCTGTTCTAGCCCTACATTTTGGATCTTCATGCAAGTAAAGACTGAATGCACAACAGAGATCATGTATCTTATTGTTGTTTTCTTATGGGTTTCCTTAGATCAAACTTGCTTCCCAGCTATGGAGATTTGCTCCCTCTTTTCAAGGCTCATTTCAGAGTCTGAATAGTCGTTGGTTATCTCCACCTGTGTGATCATTTATTGGAAGAAATGCTGAGTCATATTTGGATTGATAACTGATGCATAACATATGAAGTGCTATATTTGGCTGATGTCAGCATCATCCAAATTATCTCAGTTTCCTCTCTAACTTCACCAAATGTTTCACACTTGCTTGTCGACGAGCCGCCAAGAATTCACTCCCTCGATGTCGACCTTCATAGCCTAAAACACATTTTTCAGATTTCTGGAGCTGAAACTCCCTGAAAATATGACAGCACGAACACTTTACATATCGCAGTGTCTGATCCGTCTCTCTCAGCCAGCGAAGCTGACAGATCATCATCTGAGATGGAGGATGAGGAGGAGGAGGCTGGACGAAGGAGTGATAAGAAGAGGAACAGCAGGAGGAGTGGTGTGTTTTTCAGTTTTCAGAGAGCATGTGGGCGTACGTAGCCATACTTTGAAGTGTTTTCCTGCTGGGGACGGCATTTTCTCACAGACCCCTGCCTCGATTCGAGTCAGAAGCAGAGAAAAGCACAGAAACAAAGAAAAAGACAGAGATGGAGAGAGGAAAAGGGATGTGGATGCATCAAACACGCTACCATTCATCTAGGAACAACTGACCCTTGCCTGTGGATGACTCACCCAGTATCTGTATTTCCGTCTCACCAATCAGGCTTTCATTGTCCACCATCCTGAGCTAAAAAGAGAGAGAAATGATGACCCTTTGTTAAACCTGAACACAGACTGTGTCTTATTCAGGAAGTTAAATAAACAAATAATGGCAAGAGGAGTCCTCGTCAAAAGGTTATATTAAAGTTTTAGTTCAGCATAAATTATAGCACTTCTTCACGTGCTACTTGACTCCTACAAGAAAGTTGTCTCAAATGTGCTTTGTTAATGCGTCGAAGCTCATAAGATGAATCTACGTTATTTATTAAAATAGACAGCTGATTGTCACTGCAAAGGATTGGGACGTTACAAGCATCAGCTGAAGAAGCCAAATTATGATGATAGGTTTTAAGGAACCTAAAGTTGTATTTTCATGTGTTTTTTATTCAATCTACACAGTCAAAGATAAACAATTGTCCAATTTGTTTTGATCTTGATTTAGTGCACCTTTTTTCCATTTTATTACTTTTTTCAAGTTCCTTATTTAAATTATTCATAGCACTTTTTTAGATTTGTCATCATATAATTACAAACTTTAAAATAATTGTAATTCATAAACCAATTCAAAGAAGTTGATAACTGTAATGCGGGAGATGGTTTGTGTTTTCCTCTTTTTTACAAATTAAATATAAAAATTGGGGCATGCATTTGTTAACCTGCACTTTAATCCGTTACCTCTGAATAAAAGTGTAACTCTTCCCTTCACAAGTCACATAATTGGTTAATAGTCCAACTTTTAGTATTTTTCTTTATCTTAAATTAGGTTGTGCTGTGAAAGCCTCAGACTCCAGGCTAAAGCTGCTTTTATTATCAAACAGAGCACTGTTCAATCCAACAACAGTATTGACTGAAACGGCAACATTAAGAGGATAGAAACAACAACGATATAGAGATATAAATATAAACTCAATCATCTAAGGATCATGAAAATACCCTTTTCCTACGATAATGTTGTACAATAAGTTGGTTTAACATAAAATTCCAACAAGAACATTTTAAATGAGTATGAATATTTTTTCATTTGAATATATCTGTTCATTGTGCAATAGAAAAGCATGGTATCTAAATTAACATGACTGCAGGTTCTTACTACATCCTTATTACAACCTATTGTGTAAACTGGGTCTATTTGTCTCATTCCTGTCCAGCTCAATTACCCTTTTGACATCTCTCTCCTTCACTCTCAGCCAGTCACCTTTTTGTTACTACCTCTACCAGTTTATTCCCTTTTATTCTCCTTATCCTTCTTATTTTAGATTATTTGAGTCCATTTTCTTAAGGCTTCAGCAACAAGTCTCCCCAGACAGGTTTATGCAGCCGCCTAACCCTCTTTATATGCTGTATGTCCTCTGGACTATTGCTAATGCTAACTCTTTTATCTTAACTTGGCTGTACAATCAAACTAAATTAATCAAACTTAATTATTCTTTTGAGGTTTTTTCCCCATATCAGGTTAAGCGTGTCAATTCCCTAAAAATGTGCAGAAAACTCCGGCAAATTAAATATTGAACAGAGTAGAGATAATGAATGAGTAGGAATATTAGGTCATAAATGAAGAATCGTTAATCACTGTCTGTTTGAATGCAGCAAAGTAACCAATCTTTACAGTGAATGTAGCAGTGGTTTACCTTTCTGTACAATTAAACACTATATGGCGAAAGACGCCCTGTTGATGTTTCACTTCTATTCTGCTTTTATGTATTTACCTTACATTTTGCTAACCTATTCATACCAGAGGGACACGTCCCTCCACACACACACACTCGCTAAACTGTCATTGTGGGGACTTTCTCATTGACTTCTAATTTTATTTCTATGACCTAACCCTAACTATTACCTAACACTAAGTTTAACTTGAACTTAATTCCCATCTTAGGTAAACCTACCCCCCACCCCAGCGACAGAACTGGTGTTATGGGCACCACTTGTTTGTCCCCACAAGTACCTATAAGTGGCCAAAATGTAAATTCTTTATGGAAAAATTTCCCCACAGGGTAATAAAACACTTGGCCACACATTGCACTCCTACTCGGGGTACATTAAAATAACCAAGTAAACAGGACCTTGAAACAAGGACCTTCTTTTTTGCACCAAACTAACAGTCCTTTTTCTGTTCTTCTTTTTTAATTTATATAAACTTTATACTTCTACAGATTAGCATGCCCATATTGCTGTCCTTTATATGGGTTTGGATTTAAATTCACAGTTTAAAGGGAGAGGGGAAACATTTCAAAATGTTGCAATACCGGTTTTATCTTTGAAAGAAGCCCCAATAAGTGTCAGTTTGACTACAGCAGCTATACTGTTTAATATTTGTTATAAACTTTGGCGTTGGATGTGAAAGAATATAAAAATCTTTTAACAATCTTTCTCATATTTGTTTTTGAAAGAAAATAAGATGATTGCTTCCATTTATGCTTGTGATAAATGTATTGTTAGGCATAATTTTATAATTAGTTAATAAACCATATGGGCTTAATGATTCAGCTTTGCCTGATTGTCTCTGAACTCATTTTTGGGGAATTCACAGAGGACCAATCTGAATGATAATTATCTTAGAAACCTTGCAGGAAAAGGACTATTTTTAGCAGTTTAATGCGTTTTGGTTCATATTAACTAAAAGATTTTAATTCTTCATTTTTTTATTTTTTTATTTACAGAAACAGAAGAGGGGGTTTGTGTTTTTATTTTGAACTTAACCGAGAGTCCTATATGTTTTATTAATGCCTTTACAAAATCAGCACATCACATAGAAGACAAAACATGCAAGGAAAAGACAACAGTGACAGCGCTATAGCAGCCTGATATTCCCTTTATAACCGCGTTATAATCTGTTCACTCTGATGCTGGAAAAAAGGGTTTTCAGTGATCTTTTTGGTTTTGATGTTTTTCATTCTTGACTTTTTTTGCGCGCCTCCTCGTCGGACTTCAGCTCCATCAGCTCCACCTCGTGCTTTGCGGCAGTCTCCAGCACTTTCTGCTTGTTGTAGAAGACAACAAAGTTGTTGATGATCGGGTGGATGGGCAGAGCGATGGCGATCACCCCGCACAGAAAGCTGACCGCCGCGTTGCATTTCCCCAGAGGGGTTTTGGGGTAGATGTCTCCGTAACCCACCGTGGTCATGGTGATGATGGCCCACCAGAAAGACTGAGGGATGCTCCTAAAGAGCGTTTCCGGGTGGCTTTGCTCCAAAGTGTAGGCCAGAGCGGAGAACACAAAGATCCCCACACCCATGTACATGAGGAGCAGCCCCAGCTCCTTCAGGCTCCTCTTCAGCGCATAGGTCAGGGTCTGCAGCCCAGAGGAGTGGCGCGCCAGCTTGAAAATACGCGCGATGCGCATGATGCGCAACGCCTGGACAGCCTGTTGAACGTTCACCAGCTCCATCATGGACGTGGTACCGAGCAAAGTGAGGGACAGAACAACGTAAAAAGGCATAATCACCATGAAGTCTATGATGTTCATTATGGAGAGCGCAAAGCGCCATTTGTTGGGAGAGGAAACGAGGCGCAGCACGAACTCCACCGTGAACCACAGCATGCACACGGTCTCGATCGCCTCCATGGTCGGGTGTTCAACCAGTTTCCCCTCCGCGTTGGCCACCTGCAGCTCCGGGATGGTGCTCACACACATCACCACCGCTGACACAAGGATGGAGAGAAAGGAGGTGATAGCGATGAAGCGCGCCGGCAGGGAGGAATCCGGCTTTTCCATCAGTCTCCACAGGGACCTCTGGTACCTCTGGGTGCGAGTGATGCATTGATCCATATCCAGATCTTCTAAAATAGCTTTCACTTTGCTCGCAATCTCGTTCAGCTCTTCCTCCTTCTCACTCAGATAACTTTTGCAGCACTCATCCAAAACGCTCTGGTCTATCTTCCAGAACTCCATCTCCTTGATAAAGCATATGGGACAAATCCCGGTTTTTATGTGGATTTCATCGAAGTAATAAACATCGATGATGCACTTGAAGGAGTCAGGATCCCGATCAAAGTAAAACTCTCCTCTGAGCGGGTCAAAGTCATCGCAGAGGGTGGAGATAAGTTCTGAGTTCTGAGCTGAGCAGCTGGACAGCTCCGCCAGCCTGCTCTCCGGGTAGCGCCTCAGATCGTCCCCGAAAAGCACCACTCTCACTCCGCCGATGTTCACAGTGATATCCCCCTCTTCGCTCAAAGCGTTTCTATATTTTGGTTTCGGAATTGTCCACATTTTATTCAGAAGGTTTATTGGACCTGAAAATAGGCTAGAACGGCGGAGCGACTGTGACTAATGCCCAAATTCATGACGCCTATGAAAGTGATGTCTTGCAGACTGTTTCGTGTCCTGAATGGAACAGCTTGACTGGCAAGCTCTGCTTAGCACACCCCCCCCCCCCCCGCCCCTCTCTCTCTCTCTCTCTCTCTCTCTCTCTCTCTCTCTCTCTCTCCCATACCCACGTGCACACACACGCACACAGACACCAGGAGGAAACAATCACAATTGTCGCTTCCAACCACATTTGGCTGTTTGCTCTCTGATTGGATTCAGATGCAAATAAAACCAACAACATTTTTTCAGTGAAGGAGCAGCTAACTGTTGCATATTTTATGCTCTGAACAAACAGCCTTGCTGGGAATCTCAAAGCCACTTAGAAGAAGCTATGCCATATTGTTTGCATCATGATGAAGTCCAATCTTTCCTTCTTGTTCAGGATTATTGTTTGTCTTTTAACACACTGATGGTTCTGATATTAAAATGGCTGCTTTACACAGCAGAGAGAAATCTATCTGGTGACTGGGACATGTATATCATTACTACACCTTCCATGTGTTATTTTATATCCACTTAACTTTTGGGTTTATGGTATTGATTAACTCAAAGTAGTAGAAAACAAAAGGAAAACCATAAATATTCTATTTCTAAAACGTGAGGTTTGAATTTATATTGGAAGAGTCTTTTGTGGGATTGTCTCTTTCAACATAAGTTTGCAAATTTGCAAAAATGTCTTAGTTGGAATTTGACCCGCACATTCCAACTATTGGAGGAAACCTCTAAAACAACTTAGATAACTTAAGGATTTTTTTTAATGCTGGCTTTATTCTTGCAACTCCTCCATATCCTGGGAATTTTGTTTTCTCATTTTAACTGTGAGTCTCTGTTGTTCATCCAGTTACCATCAGGGCTGCTTCTTTGGTCATTCCCCTCCTTGGCCAGTTTAGGGAGAATTTATAGTAATTACTTTCCTCACTCTTTCCATTTTCAGATGATTTATAGGTTTTCTAAGAGTCTTCAAAGTCTGTTTTTATTTTATATTTTTTTCTTAGATATCTGGTGCAGTTTTTGAGTGTATATAACAATGACACAGCTGACCAAGGAAAAATTCAGGCATTAGAAAATAATAAACTGAAGACATGGATCAATGTTACACAGAATAGGATAAGTTGTTTCACTGATTTATTCACTTTATTTGCTTGACAGCTTTTGGAAGGATGTGATCACTTTAAGTTCTTCAAGCCGAGCAATGATATCAGCATTTACAACAGAATAGTTCAATGCAGCATTCTCCACACTGGCACCACTGGTAATGTGTGGAAGTTTAAATTCCTCTTTTAGGATGGTTGCAAAATTTTACAACAGATTTGAAAAACATTCAATATTATTTAAACAACACATATCCTTAACAAAAATCAAAATGACAAACGTATTGCTACGCCTACAACTCCAGGTTAATATATGTCACAGTCATTTACTTCATGCTTTACTTCTTTAAGTTGATTATTAGTAATTCTTAACTGAAAGGTATATGGGAGGAAGTTCTTTTTCTGGGTGGACATCAAAATAAGTGGTCCTCCTAATTGTCAATCATTGTGGTGATAGGTTTACATAATGCTGACCTACGTGCTCGTCCCCATATTCACTTACTGGTGGTGTGTCTGACATAGTGGAAAAATTGCAAATCTTCTTTTGGAAAGTAAACGTGTAAGCGATGCAAACTGCAACTTTTAAACCAAACGTGCACGAGGAGAAATGGGGTTGTGCATGCTCTTGCACACAGCTGATTAATAGGTGTTCCCTCTCGGGAGTAGGTACAGGGTTGTGCAGTGGGTCTTTCCCCCACTGTACCTTTAAGGTTTAGATATGACTTAATTAGGAAGGACATTTTTTAAGGACAACCGTTCAAATAGGAAAGACAAGAGAACATGTAGTCAACTTCCCCAGATCAGCTGCATCAATGATTAAAAAGCATAAAGGAACTGGAGCTTAAACACACAAGCCTGCAAAAGAACCTAATACCCCGTTTACACTACCCTTAAAAAACTGAGCCGAGACCGGTCCGAGCTCAGTAACTGAGATAACTTGTCGTGTGTGAACGGAAACAACCTGAACTGAACCGAGATAGACATAACCGGACCGCGCTAACTGCAGACCAGTTCCCGAGGTGGGTTCGGCTCGGTTTTTTCCTGGCTCGGTTCTCTGATAACAAGAGCGCATGAGCAGAACGCGTCATCGCCGACTGGCTGAACATGCCGATTCACACTCCATTCAAGTACATCCGCGCAAGGTTGCCGTCTTCGCCTGACACACCGCAAACACGGAAGTACAGCAATAATAATCAAGCATAACTTTCTGAATGTGATGGGCGCCGCCATTTTGATTTGCTTGATTCCCTCCTCCTTCGTCTTCTTCTTCTTGGGTTTTACGGCGGTTGACAAACAGCGTTTGGTGCATTACCGCCACCAGCTGCTTGAGTCCCTCCTTCAATCCTAGCAGTAATACCGCACATCGTCACTAGGAGGCGAGGAGTCGAGGAGTCGAGATAACCGAGATAAGTGTGACGTGTGAACGGTCGTCAAAACTGAGCTTGGCCTGGTTACCGATCCAAGCTCGGACCGGTCTGGGCCTGGATCGGTTTTTCAAGGGTAGTGTAAATGGGGCTTAAGTGTATCGTTCTACAGTGTGCATTGAGGAAGAGGAAATGAAACGAACCATTATGGGCTTTAAAGCTCACTGCCAGAGAGCTGAATCTTGGACATTACATTAACCAGTGTTTTGGTAGAGATGCAAGAACCGACATTTCCTATCCTACCATCACAAACGTGTAGGCATTGGGTTTATTGCACCGGGCTTTCTAACTGAAACTGTGGCTTTGGTCAGCTGACACTAAAGATGAGCTTTCCGGCATTAAACACTTCAGTTGAGTTCAGTTTCAAGCAAAGATTGAATGTGACGGAAGGATCTTATTTCTGCTGTTAAATATAAAGGAGTGTTGTAATGCTTTGCTACTAGTAAGACAGTCTTACTAAATATTATTACTTTTTAATTTGGGATTTTTCAGATTTATGGACAAATTTATGCTCAAATTAAAGTTTCTTCTGGTGAGTTTATGCATTACCATAAAAAGCTGAATTTTATTCTAAGCTTTACCAGAGGTGCCAGATGGGAGCTTTGGATTCCTAGAAAACTTTCACATATTTACAAAGATAAGCATTCATGATAGTAGGATAAACAATCCTCAACTGAAGAGAATATTAACATGACTTTACCTCCCAGAAGTTGAGGTTTATGTACACAGGTCATTGCATATGCAGTATGTCCATCTGTCACAGGTTACTTTTTATAGTACTGTTGGTTTGTTTTTGGTCCTGACTGCTGAGGTTGTTGAGGTGCTTTCTGTCAGTTGGTCACGATGCTGTCTGCTCGCCGCTCTCCAGCATGATGGTGCTGATATGGAAGCAGATGTAGGAGGAGTACTCCTGCTGACAGAGCCCTGGGATGTCACACTTCACCTGTTTTAGAAATAACGCAGAAAGCTATCACAGACTTATAGAGTCAACCATGAAATTACTATCAGTCTTTGCATAACCTGCAAATTAGAATTTAGATTGAACATTTAGATCTAACATTAAAATGTAAATTTGACAGGACTGTAAATATTCTTAGGGTTAATTGCATTGGTGACATTTTTCTGAGCTTGTTGTTGGGGCTAGAACTGGGCTGCAAGGACCTCTCAGCCCAAGTCCCAAAGGAATAATTTCCTAGATGAAAATTGCTCCTCTCCTCCCTTGGCACCTGTTTTCTGCCCCTTTTGTTTCCGGCCCCTGCCTGCTGCCTGCCTCCTTCTCACAGCGGGGGATCTGGGGATCTCCTCCTGGGTCTGTGGGCTGTGTCCCCCAGAGGGATTGGCCCCTAGGCCCAGGAGGACAGTGTTTGTATGAGCAGTATAATAATATGTTTAGTGTCTGCATTTCCTTGTGTGCGTCTCTATTGAATGCTTGCATATGTCCACATAGGCTTAAAAGCGGGATTGTGTGAATGTATGTAAATTTGTTTACAAGTCAGGTTGAGTGTTTTCCTCCCCTCCCACCTACTGGAACATCATAGGGCCCAAGTATGAGCAGGGCCTTCCTCCTCCCGTCTTATGCTCCACGCCAGAGACAGGTACCTATGTCAGGGGCTCAATACTTTGATGGGCACTGTCTCATTTCTGGTGGCTGCCAGGCCAGTCTGGTCCTCCTGGCCTCTTAAGCATATTTTCCTTCAGAAGAAGCTTTTTAAATCCTTTACAAAAGCATGCCCATGCACACATAATATGGGGGTTTGGTTCCAGGTGCTCATGGATACACACTAATACTGAATACTAGGCAGCAGCTACAGATATATACCCCCCTGATTAATATTATGTAATATTTCCCTCTCATCCCATTCAGGTGTGGAAGTAGACTTCTAAGTCTACTTCTATAGACAACACATATCTTCTGTGTTGTCTATTTTTGTTGTTTTGTTTTATTTTCTCCCTTTCCATGCTCTCTTTCATGTCATCTATACCATTTTATTCCCTAAATAATTTTCAATAAAGTTTGATTTACAAGTACCAAGTGAATCCTCATGGCAAAAACTATTATGTTCTGCCTGTGAAGCAAATCTGTTGAGCTATCATCTAGCTCTGGTACATCGATTCCTGGGGCTTTAATGCCCAAATAGGTTACAAAAAGAAGTAGAAAAAGAAAATATTAAAAAACAATGCTAAAAATATACATATAATTATATAAATATATCTTTACACAGTGAGGACAATAACAATTTGAACACCCTACTATTCTGCAAGTTCTCCGACTTAGAAATTATGCAGGGTCTGAAATTGTCATCGTAGGTGCGTGTCCACTGTGAGAGACATAATCTAAAAAATAGTGCAGAAATTACAATTTATGATTTTTTTTTTACCTATTTATTTGTATGATACAGCTGTAAATAAATATTTGAGCACCTGTTTATCAGCTGAAATTCTGATCCTCAAAGACCTGTTAGTCTGCCTTCAAAATGTCCACCTTCCCTCCATTTATTATCCTAAATTAGTGCACCTGTTTGAGGTCATTAGCTACATAAAGACACCTGTTCCCCTCACACAATCAGTAAGAATCAAACTACTAATATGGCCAACACCAAAGAGCTGTCCAAAGACACTAGAGACAAAGTTGTACACCTCCACAAGGTCGAAAAAGGCTACGGAGATTATTGCCAAGCAGCTTGGTGAAAAAAGGTCCACTGTTGGAGCAATCATTAGAAAAAGGAAAAAGTAAACATGACTGTCAATCTGCCTCGGACTGGGGCTCCATGCAAGATCTCACCTTGTAGGGTCTCAAGGATCCTACGAAAAGTGAAAAATGACCTGTAAAGAGCTGTGACCACCGTTTCCAAGGTTACTGTTGCTAATACACTAAGCATTAAGACGCCATTGTTTGAAATCATGCATTTCACTGAAGATTCCCCTGCTTAAACCAGCACATGTCAAGGCCCATCTTAAGTTCGCCAATGACTATTTCGATGAGTGGCTCTGGAAGAAGCATATCAAGGTTCTGCCTTGGTGTAGCCAGTCTCCAAACCTAAACTCTATAGAGAATCTTTGGACGGAGCTCAAACTCTGTGTTTCTCAGTGACAGCCCAGAAAACCGACTGATCTACAGACGATCTGTGTGTGGAGGAGTGGGCCAAAATCCCTCCTGCAGTGCAAACCTGGTGAAAAACTACAGGAAATGTTTGACCTCTGTAATCACAAACAAAGGCTAGTGTACCAAATATTAACTGATTTTCTCAGGTGTTCAAATGCTTATTTGCAGCTGTATCATAGCTGTATCTTCAAAGAAACAGTTGAAAAAATCTTAAATTGTGAATTCTAGTGGGGTTTTTTTTTTTAGATTATGTCTCTCACAGTGGACATGCACGTATGATAACAATGTCAGACCCCTCCATGATTTCTAAGTGGGAGAACTTGAAAAAATAGCATGGTGTTCAAATACGTATTTTACTCACTGTATCTATAGATATATAGATATAAATATTTGTATATAGCTCTGTGCAAGGCTAAACCCCTCAGTTAACTGTTTTTCAAACATACCTTATTGTTGAGTTAAAACAGCACATTCAGTGACCACTGATCTGATTCTATTTTTAAAGTTATTTACTAAGTTTCACTCTTCATACTTTATTTTGTTCTATTTCTGTTTTTACCTTCTTTGGACATAATTTGTTTTTGTTTTTTGTGTGATATTTATTCAATTCTTTTGAGATTCAAACATGCCAACAAAACAAAACAATGCATGTTTTGCTTTTGTTGTTTTAAGAGCTTTCCAAGTTTTTGCATCATGATTTTACCTTCAGAAGCTAATGGGAATTCTGAACCAAGATCGGTGAAAGTAGGTGTTCTGTTTTTTTTGCCCTACAGGAGTTTTCGGCTAGATTTATTTTTCTTTTAATTTCTCTGCCAAGAGGCGCAAAAGGTAAGAGCCAACGACCAGGTGGCTCACTGTTCCTCCAGGCCCCAGACTCCAGGTGGCCGCCGGGGAACAGGGGTGTGAGAAGACCCCGATCCTCCCTGCGCCTGCTCAAATGTTGTGTTGTTGTGTGTTGCTCTCAGATGTAATTAAAACTGGGAGTACCAAGAGGGGGTGTCCAGCACAGTCCATCCCCCCCTCCAGGAGATAGGCGGTGCCAGCGCACCCCCCATTTGACAACCCTGAACCCTCAATGTATAGATGCGAGAGGGGATGGAGGAAGCTGACTGTGGTGAGGCCCATAAAATAAGCCCCCCCTGGTCGGCCTTGACCCCCAACCCTCAGAAAATACCCTACATAGATGTGTGTTGTGAAAATGTTGTAGATGGAACTGTCTAAAATGCAAAATAAAATTGGGGCGGGGGACGTCATCAGAAGGTGGGGCCCACCAGTAATGACCCCCTCGCCAAAAACCTACATGTGTGGCACTGTGATGGAGCAGGCAGAGGGAGGATTTCGGGAATGGGGAGCAAAGGACTGGGGCGCTTACTGCACTCCCAGGGAGCCAGCTCCCCCGCTGACTCCAATAGGCACCCCCGTTCCCCGAGAGCCCCTCCAGAGAGTGGGGCCCCACCAGTCTCACCACCGTAGCCCGGTGTTTCAAGGTGTTTCAAGGAAAAATGGTCAAAAGAACATAATCTACCAGACCTTTTGAAAATCTTAGACTAAATAAATTTTCCAGAACATGAATCTGAAAACCCCTTTTCTTTATACACTGAAAAAAAAATAGAGGTTGACAGAACTTAAATTTTCTAGGCAACGTGATGCATTTGGTTTTTTGAGTTTTCCTTACTTAAATTCACTGTGGTTGAGTTTACAAAGATTTTTGAGTTCTGCCAACTTAGGTTTTTGGAGTGTTACATAGAAATTTTGAGTTCTACCAACTTAGGTTTTTGAGTTTCACCTTTAAGTTCTGAGTTCTATCAACTTTGTTTTATGAGTTTGACATATAGATTTTGAGTTCTACAAACTCAGATTTTGTAGTGTTATCTGCAAGTTGAGTTCTATCAACTCAGTTTTTTTAGTCCTACCAATCATCTTCACTACCAATCATTCAACACTCAAAAAATTATGTTAATACAACATTTTTATTGCTTCAAGTCAAACATTGTATCAATAGATACAGTATAAAACCATGTTCAACAACATAATCTTAACTGCACAGATCAAAGTAACCTGACACTGGACCAGAATGTTCTAGATTTGTAAGAGGGAGTGATGATGAGGGAAAAAACAGTAAGACACCGATTTAGTAAGAGGAAAACACACAGGTAATTTTTTGTGAAGTAAGTGTATTAACATATATGAAAAAATAACAGTTTTACAAATTTGGACGGCCTTGAGTTTGTTTTTTCAATTGTAGTCTCTTTAAAATGGGTGCACCCTTTAAAAAAAATAAAATGAAATAAAATGTCTTGTTTCCCAACGGAAATAGAAAAAGGTTTTCCCTTTTTATCTCTGAGTTTTTCTTTTTTGTCCTACCACTCCGACAGGACGATGAATGCAAGAAAAGTAAGTCCTCTTTAGTCCAAATCCTTCTCTTCAGTCCAAATCCAGATGTTCACACGGTTGGCTCGCCATCTCCATTTAAGGAGAGAATCCAGAATCCGGGGTATCCAAAAAACCCTGCCTGCATAGCACAACAGGGCTTAGTTAAATCCATTCACTTCTTGTTCTTAACTGTACAGTTTATATCTCTCCAAGTATGATAAATTTCAGTGTGTAATGTAACTTTTCTAACTCATTACGAATTAACTGCTGCATTACAGGGTTAACATATAAAATGTTAATGTCACTGTTTTTCTTGTAAAGCAAATAAAATCATGAAAGCAAAAAATCCACATGTAAATAATGTAAATAACAGTAAATACCCACACAGATTAAGAAAGTAAAATAATGTAGTCTTGTAATATTCTGTGCCTAAGTGCAACAACACTGCACTACATAAAACAATTTAGAAATTTCATAAGTTATTACATTCAACTTAATGTCTCTTTTCATTTGTACAATGAAAATAACAGGCACTCTTTTCTCTGGATAAACACTCACCCGCACATGCGCGACATAAACACGCACGCGCACACGCGCATTATAAACACGCACGCGCGCGGCTTTTCCTTTCATCAGAACGTGAAAAACATGCGAACTCATGCTTCAACTCGGTGGCAATACACCACAAGGGAATGCTAACTCACGGAGCTAACCGCTAACTGGCTGTACTTTGCAGCACTCACCAGGAAAAGAAAAGATTCAGAAAACTGGTAAGGTCCCAGGGTCGTTCCTCCGTGGTTCTCCAGATGCATAAAAGCACAATGTCAGCCAATCTTCTCAAATGCGAGGGAAAAAGGCTGTGCCCTTGAAGAAACCGATAGGAAACCCCGTACCGTAGTGGGCGTGTCCATGAACATAAGCAGTGCGCATGCCCATGAGTTTACAGTTGAGGGAACTCAAAAAATCTTTTATAGGCGATTTAAAACTCCTTGTTAAACCAACTTCTGAGAATTTGAGTTGGGCAAACGTGTATTTATTTGTTAGATGTCAAATTTATATTTCTGAGTCGAATTACAATACAATTGTGTGTTAGAACAACAATTGCCATTTACTTTTTTAACAGTGTAGTTTCAAGTCAAATATTATTAATAGTTTGACCAATAATTTTGAGCTAAAATAAACCTTTTGCCCATTTACTAAACAGAATGGAGACGATCCTTTTAGAGGTAAACTCTTGACCTACCTATTTAATTTTAGCTATGATACTTTATTTATTTATTTTATTTATTCAGAAACATGTTGCTTCTCTTTTGGGAATTAAATTTATTCAAATTATTGCTTTTAATTTAAGCTCATCTGTGCTTCTTTTTAATGCAAAATCTAGCTGTGTCATTCCTTAATGCAAAAGTTACATTTGCTCAGTTTTTGGTGCCTTTAATCATCATAAGAATCATTGGCTGCTGTGTTTTTTATACTACTGTACATGTTTTTGTGTGGCAGATGTTTATTTACTGTATGAAAGGGTCTATAGCATGCAAAATGTACTCTTTCTAGCTTTAATCTGTGTTATAATGCTGTGCATTCATCAAAAGCATACAAAATGTCTAATTGATCCTTATAAAGGATCCACGGCAGACTCTGCTGGAGAAAGATGGGATTTTCTCCAGCTCCCAACAATAAATTATGCTTAGCAACAACCCCTCTCTGCCCTGAAAAAAACAACTGACCAAGACACATCATTTAGTAGCTAATCTGCACAGTGACAGCAATTGTTATTTTTTCAGCTAATCTCTGTCATTGCATTTTCTTTCCCATATTTTTTGTTCTTGTTATTTAGCAAGAAGTGGCATAATGAAGTAGGCAGAACCCAGATAAGGAGAAGAGGCTTCACTTTAAAGCCAGGTGTCTGGCTTGTCTCTCTGTGTTTGATATCAGAATAGAATATCAAACCAAATGATCAGCTATTCTACCTCCTTCATGCTGGCAGTCGGGTCCAAGTGTCCAAACAGAGTAGAAAGTTCCTCCTTCAGCTTCTTTGAGTGCTTCCTGTCTGTCTCCAGAAGAAAAGCCTGATAGTTCACAGGTAGTCCATACCTACCCAAGGAAATCACATGAAGCTTTATCAGTCTCCATTAGTAGGTCATCAATAATTAACATAAATTCTTACCTGAGAACTGATTCCACAAAAACTCTTAATGCTTTTAAATGTATCCAGGCAACGAACACCTGAGTGAAATTCACCTTCAGCCAACGCACAAAGATCCCCTGTGAGGAAGGCAGGAAGTGTGTTAAAAAAAAAGACGTAATCACAAATATCTGTTGGCAAATCCCAACACCTGACTCACATACTGCTCCTTTTTCTGAAGGGTGAGCTTCGTGATCTCCTGCTGCTTCCTCTCCTCCACATCAAAGCTGTACTCCCGCACAATGAACCTGCGTGGATCACAGACTACATTATGGTAATTGACGCAGACACCATGGGTGAGTCTCCCATCGGGGGTTTCTCCAGAAATTCCTCCTGCTTACTTGCTCTCCTGAGCTTTAGCTTTGAATTCGTTCACAGCTCGCTTGAAGAGAGTCACCAAGAAGATTCCCCCGTCTCTGTCCTCAAAAATCTTCCTAAATATCAGAAGGAAATATGAGAAAATGAGGTAGGAAAGGACAATGGTGTGTGTGTGTGAGATGGGGGTGGGGTGGGGGGGGGGGGTGCATACTTTAAATAATTTTTTTTTATCAAAATCTTGTTGGGCTTCAGAAACCCTTCTCCAACCTATTGTGTTATCACTACAACTTCAAATTTTTATTGTTTAAGGTGTTTTTGTTGAGCTGGACCAACAAAATGTTCAACAAATGAAAATGAGATGAGTAGATTCTGTATATGGGAACCCAAAATCTGAATTCTTGAAACGTATGAAGATGCAAACTTCTCAGCTGCCTCAGTAATAATAATAACGACATAAAATAAAAGCGAATGTAAAGATTTAATGGTGCAAATGAAAGAGGAGGGACCTGCTCATGGTAAACACCCCTCAACTCTTCTTATGCTGCACTGAGAAACTGTCCTGATGCCCCAGGTCAAAAAACACTGCTTGTTTTCCTCCAGTGTTGGAAAGTCTAAGATCTGTTCTTTCGCAGTTCACCAGAAACTGCTGATGCTTTGTGTTTTGATTTGATATAAAGTTTTTAATTATTAAAAACTTCATCTGGAATCACTCTGTGCACAGAATACTAATATTCCTTGCTGCTGATCTGAGCCACACACTCTCCCTTCTGCAGGTATTTAAACGCCTGCTCCCAGTTTGACCTCCCGAAGTTTGAGAACAGAAGTTTTAGAGCCTTACTATTGGACTGAAACTCACCTGCTCGACCGAGGGACCACAAACTCTGAGAAGAATTCATAGCTTCTCTCCCACTGCAGATATTTTTCTCTGCGATTGATAATACAGAGTGGAACGGTTTTATGTTTAATGAGCATCTCAGGATATACAAAGGGAAAGATGTTAAGGTACGTACCTGCTTACAACCACTAAAATAGTTGTTAGATACTCAGAGACCACCAGGTCCTCTTTCCTTATGATACCACTCAGACTTTGTGTTTGCAAATTACCGCTGAAAACAAGCATCACAGACTTCAGTACATCATACTGACCATCTAAGCATTTATTACAGCATATTACTCACTTTAGATTACGTTCAAGGCTTTGTAAAGAAGCTGCCAGGCTGCTGTAGGCTGTCGCTCTTGATCTTAGCTCTGTTTCCACCTGTGATATTTCCTGCAGAATATTCAGCATCAAGTTTTCCTTTACTTGGAAATTTCTATACTTCTTCTCAGCCCATGTTTATATCAACATTACTGGCATAGCATCTTTTGATTTCTTCCTTTAAGTTAGAGAGACTAAAATACTTCCACAATTTACATTTTTTGGTGTTAAAGAAATTAAAATGTTTAATTTTACCACTTTTAAGATAAAACTTTGCTGAAGAACCTTGGGATTTAATTTCATGAGGTCTTATTTTCTAAATCCCTAACATTGAATATGATTAATCAAATCAATCAGAACTAAAGTTGGTCTGTTTATTTAGGGTTTTATTAATTTATATGCTCACTCTTTAGAGAAAGGTTACAAGAGATCAATAGGATCTCAATGCACATCATATCAGTTAGGGGAAAAACAAAACTTTTTTTAAACAATTGTTTATAAAAAAAAATGATTTAGAAAGTGTTCAAGAGACTGCAAACAGGTCAACAGTAACACAGAAGAGCCACAGTTTGGTTCAATTTAATAGATCAGGACGGGTATTCACAAAGAATCCTAAGTGACTGGATTTTGGAAAAAATTTAGAATTCACAGAAAATCTGTGTTATACAGTAGAGACCCTCGTCTTGTTTAAGCACGGTGAGGGTAGTATAATGGTGTTAAACTCCAGCACAGTTGACTAATGCTTGGGGTCAATGATCAGAAGCAAGCCAGCAGTCCAACTCTGAATCACAATGGAGAAAATAAAAGTGAGCAAAGTCAAAGACTGCAATGAAATCCTGCTGAGATCCTGATGCATGACCTAAACAAGTTATTTATGTTCAAACACATTTTCCAAAGAGGCTGAAATATTCTGAAATAATCTGAAGTATTAGTCTAAATTCCTCCACAATAATTTAAGAAGAATTTTCCAAAATACTGCAAACATTTTATGGGAAACGTGCAATAGTAAAATGTAAACAAATTATTATTATTAGCTAAGACTAATTTTTCATTACTTCCAGTTAGTATGAATAATAACTCTTTTAAATTTAATAATCATTTAAAACTGCATTCTACTTTTAACTTTTGTTATATTTTTCTAAAACTTTGTTTTTTACAGATCTACAAATTTTAAGCAGCATTTATTACAATAACAGGAAATCTCTACACTACAAATACTTTTTAACAGTCCTGTGTTTAACAAATGATTTAAGCAAAGTATCGTCAGAAAATTTAGATTTCTCTTTTCTCCTATATCTAGTGATGCTTTTCATTCAGTGAAAAATGTTTTTAGTTGTTTCAGTTTGTTTCAGTTTGTTTCACCTGCAAGGCTGAGAAAATGTCTGAGTAAGGGGTGGTGTAATTATTCCCACGACAAGCCAAATTCTTTCTCAAGGTTTGTTTAAGTGTGTAATTTGTTTTCACTCCGACACAACATTCAGGGTTTTTTTGCTCCCTCAGTAAGGGAGAGTCAGAACAGAGCTGAATACTGTGCCATAAGGGCCATATGATGAACTGTTCTCTCTTTGCAATGATATGAAAATAAAGTGCAGACTGAGTGAAATCTATTGATCTCCATTTCTTTAACTAGGATGAACAATTGAAGACTTTATTCCCACTGCAAAGGTCAACTTATATCATCTATGGAAGGATGATCATATATTACTCAGTAAAAACGTGAAATAATCCATTAAAGACAAGCGATAGGAGACAAGTCCGTTGAAAACCATGTTTGCTGATCATAATGTGAGTGTTTTCAGAAAACATCAGAAAGTGGCTGGAGAATCACTAATTGCTTCTAAATTCATATTAAGGGTTTAAACAATAAAATAATTTGGCAGGAAATGAACACACATATAATACAGAAATAATACCGTCAGAATGAAAAATTTGACCTATTTGAATGTAATGATGTTTAGATACTAGGAAGAAGACAACTTGGTCCTCAGGTCAGCTTGAATTGGTACCTTGTTGATGAGATCTGCCAGGGTGCAGAGAGGCAGAGCCGTAGGATACTTGGCTTTGTCCCACTGAAACTTGGTGACGTACCTCATCAGGTCCACTGAGAAAAAACAAACAACTTCTGACCAAAAATAAGACTAAAGGTTTGCAAACATAATAAACCACGGTTATATAGAAGAGGAATCTATTAGCAGATAAACTCTGTACCTCTTAGAGATGCGAGATAAGCCTGTAGTGCTGATGGAACGGCGCTTCTCTGATCCCATCTGTGGCCTGTAGGTAACAGTCAGGTTAGTTTGCTTTGCTTTGGAGGACGACAGTGTGAGCTGCAGTGAGCTGTGGTGAGCTGTACTGACCTGTGGTGAGTTGTGTTGAGCTGTGGTGGGCAGTGGCGAGCTGTAGTGAGCTGTGGTGGGCTGTGGTGAGCTGTAGTGAGGTTTGGTGAGCTGTAGTGAGCTGTACTGAACTGTGGTGAGTTGTAGTGAGCTGTACTGAGCTGTGGTGAGTTGCAGGGAGGTGTGGTTAGCTGTGGTGAGCTGTTGTGATCTGTAGTGAGCTATTGTGAGTTGTAGTGAGCTGTGGTGAGCTGTAGTGAGGTTTGGTGAGCTGTAGTGAGCTGTACTGAACTGTGGTGAGTTGTAGTGAGCTGTACTGAGCTGTGGTGAGTTGCAGGGAGGTGTGGTTAGCTGTGGTGAGCTGTTGTGATCTATAGTGAGCTATTGTGAGTTGTAGTGAGCTGTGGTGAGCTGCAGTGAGCTGTGGTGTGCTGTAGTGAGCTGCACTGACCTGTGGTGAGTTGTGGTGAGCTGTGGTGGGCTGTGGTGAGCTGTAGTGAGCTGTGGTGGGCTGTGGTGAGCTGTAGTGAGGTTTGGTGAGCTGTAGTGAGCTGTACTGAACTGTGGTGAGTTGTAGTGAGCTGTACTGAGCTGTGGTGAGTTGCAGGGAGGTGTGGTTAGCTGTGGTGAGCTGTTGTGATCTGTAGTGAGCTATTGTGAGTTGTAGTGAGCTGTGGTGAGCTGTAGTGAGCTGTGGTGGGCTGTGGTGAGCTGTAGTGAGGTTTGGTGAGCTGTAGTGAGCTGTACTGAACTGTGGTGAGTTGTAGTGAGCTGTACTGAGCTGTGGTGAGTTGCAGGGAGGTGTGGTTAGCTGTGGTGAGCTGTTGTGATCTATAGTGAGCTATTGTGAGTTGTGGTGAGCTGTAGTGAGCTGTGGTGGGCTGTAGTGAGCTGTGGTGGGCTGTAGTGAGCTGTGGTTAGTTGTAGTGAGCTGTGGTGAGCTGTAGTGAGCTGTAGTGGGCTGTGGTGAGCTGTAGTGAGTTGTAGTGAGCTGTGGTTAGTTGTAGTGAGCTGTGGTGAGCTGTAGTGAGCTGTGGTGGGCTGTGGTGAGCTGTGGTGAGCTGTAGTGAGCTGTGGTGAGCTGTGGTGAGCTGTAGTGAGTTGTAGTGAGCTATGGTGAGTTGTAGTGAGTTGTAGTGAGCTGTGGTGAGTATTTTGATTTTTACACACAGACTTTTTCATCTTCTATTAGCTAGATATTAAACACTCCGATTGTTATGGTGTGTTTGTATGAATCACCTCCGTTGACGATGGCGTACTCCTGAACTTTGTCTCCAGACGCCTCCATCACTTCCTTCAGACTCTGGCAGGTTTTTTTAATCACACTGGGTGAAAAAAAAAATGATGTTAATCTGAAAATCTCTCTTTAAAGATTTTTTCATGTTTTTATTTATAAAGCACAGCAGTTATAAAAATGTCTAAAAAAAACGTTTTCACATTTTTCTATGTTACATCCAAACCATTTAGAGCATTTCTTTCAGATTTTATATTACACAACAACACAGTGTACAGTTTCCAGCATCATAACCAATAACGTTCAGAACAGGTAATCAGCTCCACTGATAATGGCACCTGCCAGGGTATGTTTTCATAAAATGGCTTCCATCCCTGTCTTTCTTAAAGTAAATCTGTCCCGTAGCATTATGCTGGCACCACCATGTTTCACATGTACACTATATTGCCAAAAGTATTTGCTCACCCATCCAAATTATTGGAATCAGGTGTTCCAATCACTTCCATGGCCACAGGTGTATAAATTCAAGCACCTAGGCATGCAGACTGTTTTTACAAACATTTGTGAAAGAATGGGTCGCTCTCAGGAGCTCAGTGAATTCCAGCGTGGAACTGTGATAGGATGCCACCTGTGCAACAAATCCAGTCGTGAAATTTCCTCGCTCCTAAATATTCCACAGTCAACTGTCAGCTGTATTATAAGAAAATGGAAGTGTTTGGGAACGACAGCAACTCAGCCACGAAGTGGTAGGCCACGTAAACTGACGGAGCGGGGTCAGCGGATGCTGACGCGCATAGTGCGAAGAGGTCGCCAACTTTCTGCAGAGTCAATCACTACAGACCTCCAAACTTCATGTGGCCTTCAGATTAGCTCAAGAACAGTGCGCAGAGAGCTTCATGGAATGGGTTTCCATGGTCGAGCAGCTGCATCCAAGCCATACATCACCAAGTGCAATGCAAAGCGTCGGATGCGGTGGTGTAAAGCACGCCGCCACTGGACTCTAGAGCAGTGGAGACGCGTTCTCTGGAGTGACGAATCGCGCTTCTCCATCTGGCAATCTGATGGACGGGTCTGGGTTTGGCGGTTGCCAGGAGAACGGTACTTGTCTGACTGCATTGTGCCAAGTGTAAAGTTTGGTGGAGGGGGGATTATGGTGTGAGGTTGTTTTTCAGGAGCTGGGCTTGGCCCCTTAGTTCCAGTGAAAGGAACTCTGAATGCTTCAGCATACCAAGACATTTTGGACAATTCCATGCTCCCAACTTTGTGGGAACAGTTTGGAGCTGGCCCCTTCCTCTTCCAACATGACTGTGCACCAGTGCACAAAGCAAGGTCCATAAAGACATGGATGACAGAGTCTGGTGTGGATGAACTTGACTGGCCTGCACAGAGTCCTGACCTCAACCCGATAGAACACCTTTGGGATGAATTAGAGCGGAGACTGAGAGCCAGGCCTTCTCGTCCAACATCAGTGTGCGACCTCACAAATGCGCTTCTGGAAGAATGGTCAAAAATTCCCATAAACACACTCCTAAACCTTGTGGACAGCCTTCCCAGAAGAGTTGAAGCTGTTCTAGCTGCAAAGGGTGGACCGACGTCATATTGAACCCTATGGATTAGGAACGGGATGTCACTTAAGCTCATATGTGAGTCAAGGCAGGTGAGCAAATACTTTTGGCAATATAGTGTATGTGTCTCGCTTGGCTTATGGCAAACTGTATTCAATTTCCTTTTTTTTACAACATCGGCTTTGCTCTTCTGACTTTTTCTCAAAGGGATGCAATAGATTCATCCACACAGCTGGAGCCTTTTCACATGGAGCATAAAGTTCTCTTCTGATTTAAACTGATAGTTTCTAATTATTTAACGAATGATATAGGAAATAATATAAAAAAAGAACAAAGAAAGGATACAAAACCAAAAAAAAGCTGGAGATAAAAGAAATTAAAAGAAGAAAGATGAGATAAAATGGACACATGCATAAGCATAATTGAATGTAAGGTTTTATTTAATTAAACTTATCTTATTTTTTCTTTTGTTCCTTTTTTAATATAAATGGAACATCTTGGTTTTATGTAGCTTTCCCATCCCTCCCAGAGGCCTTTAAATTATTCTCTTTGAAGCCTCAAGAAAAATTTTATTCTTTCCATCTTAAAAATATCACCTAATATTTTACACAAATGTTTAATGGCAAGTACTTTTTTTTATCAAAAAGAAAGCTATTTTGCAAAGCAGGAAAGTCAGAAAATGTAGTCAGAAAAAAAGTGTTGACTCAGGTGTGATGGATACTTTAAAGCAGCCATTCTGTTTTTTTTTATATTAGAATATGATTATCATTTCTATCTGTACAATAATTTGGTACACTGTGATGAGACATGATATAAAACCACAGCAAAACATACTTTGGTTTGTTAATATCTGCACATGTCCAAAGAAAAAGCTTTAGCAAAGACCATAATGTTCAGCCTGACTGAGCTCCATTAGGACATTTGTTCTAAGACATAAATGTGAATCCATTATTTGCTATAAACATCATCATGCTGAGTGTTATCTTCTTCCTGGAACTGTGGCTAGCTGCTGGATCCATCACTCATGCAGCCACAGCTCAAATAGACCAACAACGAATTTGAAATCAGGAGGGAAACGAAACATCACCTGAGCATTAATCATTCATCATGCAGACTGAACACATGCTCTGAGCTGCTGCTTTCAGTGAAGGACAAACCTGCAACACGGGCTGACAGTTATCAACAGAATTTATTCCTCTGTTGCTGAGTTTTGTGTTTGCTTTACCTCTCAGTCAGCGCGTCCAGTTTTGACAGCTCATCTGACACTTGAACCAGACTGTCTAGAATCCCCACCTGCAGCCTCAGCAGAAACAAAAGCCATAATGTTGCTCTGAGTCATAACACATCCAACAACTCAGAAAGCTCACAGCAATTAGCACCTGTATTCTTGTAATTTTATTCATACAGGTATCTTTAAAACTTTTTGTTTTGTACAACTAAAAAAATGTAGTTTTGTACAGCTTATATGACATTTCCATTTCTGAAAGTGCAGCAGCAATCAAATGTAAACAGTGTGGGAGAAAAAACATGGTGCAAAAAACGCACTGATGTGGAAGTTCAGAGCATTAATATATATATGGTGAAATATGCAGTGTTTTGGTTTGGTGTTGTGTGTGTGAAAGATATTATAGACTACTCAAAAATTAGAAAATAAAATAAAAAAATTATCTTTTCATCAAAATCTATTTGAAACTAACTTTGACAAAGACTCAATTTGCAACATTTTGTAAATAGTTTTCCTGCCAAATTGTTTCAAACTAAGAGATGCAGCTCACTCACTGGAAGTTTTGAGTGGCAATGGATTACAGCATATTACAATTTATTAAGGATTATTTATTCATCAAGGATTGAAATGTGTTTGATTCCCAAACTGATAGTGAGTTAATAGAGATATGAATGCAATAGTTATAAAGAAAGGAATATAACTCCTCCTTTAACAGTTAGCTTAGCCCGCCTTTGGAGACAGGCTGCATGTTCAAATCACATAGTAAGGTATTCATACAAGGTATTCAGCATTTATTTTGAAATGCATTATTTGTTTATTAAACATAATCTTTACATGAGATGATGCTCCTTTTTGATACAGAACAGCAGCACAATTAGGACATTCTGAGAAAGAATCAAAGGCTTTGTGGTTAACGTTGAGTTCTCGCTAATCAGGTTTTAAATCAATATTTCACAATAATGTGCAAATATGATCAGGCTTTTAAGTTCTACATTAACATCTGGATCCAATTTAGAACTTTAAGGCTTTGAGAAGCTGAAAACCACAGATGTGAACAGCTGTGGTGAAAGAGCAGCTCTCTGGTAGACAGACAGGGTACTGATCACGCTGAGGGAAACGGGTCAGATGGAAATGTTGCCTCAAACTGCAGAGAGCAACCTGAGCCTCCATCCCTTCACCAGAGAAGGACACCAAACACCATCAGCGTCCTCTCTCACACTCTACTGTACTGCTTTAAACTAAATAAAAATAGCACTTTTCTCTTGTATTCGGTGCAATTGGCTCGTTGTCGGAATAGATCACACCCTCACCTTTAGATCCGGGATGAAGAACTTCCAGAATGAGGCCAGGTGGGTTTTAATTATGGTCCGCTTTAGTTTCTCCATGCTGGCTAAACTGGTCTTGTCCAGTGGGACAGAAATCAGCCAAAACTCTGCCATCACTCCTCTTGCTTCACACAGAGACCATCAATCATATATCCTACATACCAGTTTGGCATGAAACACATCAGATATTTTCCTAGAAACACAAATAATCAAATATTTAAACTAAAAGATGTCAAATGAGTTTCTTTGGAACATCTCAATGTTTTGTTTAATGTGATTGAAATAAAGCTCAGAATTAGCTGTTAAAGTAGTCTAATACCTTCAGGCTACCTTCATGATCCTCCTGTGATGACACCTCAGAGTGACTGAGTGAGAGCAGCAGCTCCACCTGAGACGGACCCGACGACTGAGGAGAGCCGTCTGACGGCCATCTGACTCTGTCCGGTTACAGGAAGCTCTCATCTCTCAGGTGACCTGAGTGAATACGCATTAACAGAAAGAGTCATATGTGACATGAAATGTTAGTAATGGAGGCCATGAAACATTAAATCCTATTTAACAAAATGTTTAACAAAACATTACAAATTTCATGGCTGAAAAATATTTTTTAAGAGTTTTTATTTGCCATCAAGTAAATAGAAAATAAAGATATGTTTTTATCTTTGCATAGCACAAGCTAATTACCTCAGGAAGCAATATTCAAACGATGTTTTATATAATCATCCAAATATTTTTGATAATTAACTTTAAAGACATTATCCTTTCCAAATGACCAGAGAAAACTTTAAAGCCAGTAATACAGTTGTTGGTGTCATGGCACTGATGGCTGGATTTGGCTCTTTTCTGCATAGCTCCGCCCACTGTCATTGTCACTCATCAGATCCACCTGTTCCTGTTTAAGCTACCCGTTCCCAGATTATTGGAGCTGTGTGAGAGTAACTCTCAATCCAGTGTGTTGCTGATTTCCTGATCCTAAAAAGTTTTTGTCTTTGTTTTACCCCTGTTTCTGCTCTCTTTGCCTATTCTGTTTTTGGACTTACTCCTTGATTTTTCCTGTAAAACGACCTTGGACCTGACTCCTGACCCCGGCGTGGATTCTGCTTCGGTACTTCTTCGGCTCTCTGATTCTCTGGCCTCCACCTCAGCTGTCTTCTGCTCATCAGTCTGCTCTGCTTCTCTCCTGGAACTCTGGGGGCAGCTCCTGCTGCATCCTCCGGGATTCAACTCCTTCCTTTTGGGCTCAGACTGAACTCTTAGCCATGTTAGTTACTTCTTTGCTGGTAACCATTGCCTCTCTGAGTTTCATAGTCACTATCCTACGTTTCCACCTCTACAGAGGATCCAGTGAACCTACCCCAGCTATTGAGCCATTGTGCGCTGAGCAGAAAATAAACGCTTTCTTGTGAATTTCTGGGTCCTACGTTCTGAATCGTCTGACAATTGGATAAAAAGGTTTCCATAATTAGTTGTACAGATGTGTGAATTCGCTGCTCCCTTGGTGCCACACAATGGCGGCCCACTGCTCCCCAAGGGGATGGGTTAAATGCAGAGAGTGAAATTCGCCTTTGTGGGACAATAAAAGGATTTACATTTCTTAAAATAAAAATCGAAAAAAATTGTTGGAACCTCCTTCGTTTTGAAAAAAAAATCCACAATGGTCACAAAAATTATTTGAATCTGACAAAATAAGTAATAGATCAAAATTACATTGAAATGAAGAAATGAAAGTCAGATATTGCTTTTCAACTATGCTATGAAAGATGGATTTACAAAAGAAATTAACTCATTAAACAGGCCTTGACTAAACTTACAACACCCCCTTTTTAAGGACTAAAAAATAAACTCATGCCGTTACAAAAATGATAGTGGCCCTAACTTATTTTCTTTTTAACCTTTTTTTTTCCTTTGGTCACATTTTCTTAAAGTTGTTCTGTTTGGGTCTTGTCTAAAAGCAATGTCTGACTTTCTTTTGTTTGTATTCTTTATTCGCATGTACCAACAATTGTGTCAATGTGTGTCAGTTCATTCTTTGATTCACCTTCAGCAGCAGCAACAAACAGAAATAATCTTTTGTCTGACTTTATCAGTTGTTTAGGTTTGCAGATGTACAGCTCATCCCAAAACCTTACACCACAACATTTTAATCAGGTAGAGGTTTAGACTTTGACTAGGCCATTCCATTTTTTATAGTATCTGCTGTATTTGAGTGACTATTGGATTCACCATCTTCTACCATCAGTTATCAGCTTTGGTTTCAAAAGACGGGGACATCTTTGCACGTCATGGTCGTTTATCCTTCATGATCTCTCATATATAACATTAACTTGTGCTTGTACAGTTGTTCTCTGTTTTGCATAGCTTAGAAAACTAGCTGTTTGCATTTTTTTAGACTTAACAAAGATCAACTGATACAGAATGAAGAAATGGAACTACTCAGAAATGTGGGCAGCCGTTTCATTTTAGACTTTAGGTTCTAGTGGCTGCACTCTCTCTCTCTCTTTCTCTCTCTCTCTCTGTGTATATATATATGTGTGTGTGTGTGTGTGTGTGTGTGTGTGTGTGTGTGTGTGTGTGTGTGTGTGTGTGTGTGTGTGTGTGTGTGTGTGTGTGTGTAAAAATGTCCATGTTAAATACCTCAGCATTTAACTCATCCCCTTTGGGAGCTGTGGGCTGCCATTGTGTGGTGGAGAGCAGTCTGGGGTTAAGGGTCACCTAACCTAACTGTCCTTACTGATCCGTACGAAATAGGAAATTGGGGGGATTTTAATATTATAAATCTAATTCCTAACAGATAAGGCATCAAGAATGAAGAGTCATAAGATGTTGCTTGATAACCAAGAGTAACATAGCCAAATATAGGAAAGATGCAAACAGGTAAAGCAGGCATCCCCAAAGTTTGTCCTGGAGGTCCGCTGTCCTGCAGGTTTTAGAGCTTTCTCTGTTTTAGCACAGCTCATTCTGGTGATTTTAGTTCTGCAAAAGCCTGTTAATCAACTATCAATGTAAATCAGCTGTGCTGGAGCAGGAAAACCTCTGAAAGCTGCAGGACAGCATTGGGGATTCCTGAGCTAAAGTGACATTTTCCTCCATTTTGGAAGTGGTTTCGGAGTGTATCAAACTGTCTTTCTCAGAGAAACCCCTTCGTAGTGCCATATGACCAAGAGGGGCAAGCAATAGTTGCCCCTGTTGGAAAAGTCCTATGGAAATTATGAAACTAAGAGGGATAATCTAGTAATCAATGAATCTTTAAATGTACAATTTTGATTTTAAGATGAAATTTCTATCCAGAACTCCTTAAAGTGGAAAATATTTAGTTTAATCTGGTCAAAAAAATTAAATAGATAAATAACCCTAACCCTAATAAATAAAAATTCTAAATTATTGGTAACAGATTAATCGTAAGCAAAATTATGGTTAGTTACAGCTCTAGTTTGTTGGTTTCTTTGTATTTATTTATTTATTTATTTATTTATTTATTTATTTATTTATTATTGTTGGTTCCAGAACTCCAGTTTTTTTTCCCCGGAAGTAGCAGTCCTTATGTGTCCGTCGCGTAACGACGTCCGTAAAGCTGAAGCAGATTCAGCAAAGCAGTCAATAGTTTTATTTACATACATATTGTTTTAAATAAATAGATAAAATTAGGAAACAGAGCTTTAAATTTGTCCGACTCTGAAAGACCAAAGGCTTCGCCAATACGGTCAACAGGGAGGCCCCTAATATACCCGGATGTGTTTCTAGCCGAACTCTTTAAATCGACCCACCTTTAGTTTCTAAGGCACAACAACGTGCGAGGAGATTAAAAGATCTAAAGAAAAATGCAGATCTCGAATATAAACGACGTGAAGGTTTATAACCTGAGCTTTGGAAAGTCTCTTCCAGAGGTAAAAGCTGCCGATATTTGATGATTTATTCCTTCCTCCATTTACAGGATAAACTATGATAGCAGCTGTTAAATCAGTGGAAAAGGAGAAATATTTTCTTTAATAACAGAGTAAAGATGGACTCTCTCCTGGATGTTTCCTCCTGAATCATGTCTGTGTTTCTGTTGCAGTGGTTGTCAGACCGAAAGAAAAGGCAGCTTCAAAAGAAAGATGTTGGTGAGCAGACATTACTTCACATTAGATTAGATTAGATTACACAGCTACAGGTTCAAGGCAACAGCTTCAGTGTCTTTGAAGCTGATGGTTAAATTCCCTGTTTCAGGCCAACTTTGTTTCCTCTTTTTGTTTTGCAGAAATCCAGCGGCGGATCGAGCTCATCCAGGACTTTGAGATGCCCACAGTGTCCACCTCCATCAAAGTGTCCAGAGATGGACAGTTTATCCTGGCTGCAGGTCAGACCGGCTTCTGGATTCATGGTTGATCACTTTAGAATCGGGGCAGATATTTACTGTATTGTTATCATAGTAAGTTTCTGGTCATAATAAGAATGTAGATGCCTAAACCAGGCCTGTCCAGTGTCTGTCCTGCAGGTTTCCCTGCTTTAGCACAGCTGGTTTCCACTGATTGCTGGTTTACAGGCTTTTGCTGAAATGCAAACATCACAATCAGCAGCAACTGAAACTGAGAAACATTGAAAACCTGCAGGAAAGCTGCTGATTTAAAAACTCCAGAAACTTGGTGAATCGTCAGAATTGTGACCTTACTTGTTCTTTCTTTTTTTCTGTTGTTGCATTGACACATGTGGTTCATAGTAGATGTTGGGCCGCAGCTAACCATTATTTTGCAAATCGATTAATATGTCGATTATTTTTTGATTGATAATCGGATAGCCAAAGGTTCCTTAAAGAAGTTTCTTATGAAATTAAACCAGGTTAAAACTTTTCTACTTGAGGAGTTCTGGGTTATAGAGCATATTGACAGAAGAAAAAAGAAAATGTTTTAAAGGCAAAATATTTACATTTTTGATTTACATTCTGGTATGATTGCTACTAAAGGTGGTTTAATCTGTCAGTAAAGACACTTTTTACAGTCTCTATACTCCAGTTAATGATTAATTGATTACTAAATTAGTTCAATAATTAATTGTTTCAGACATAACTAGATGTTTAGAGATATAAACTGGTGACCTGACAAAGCTGATTTTAAGTTCTTAAAGTGTTTTTTGTGATTTTGAGACTTTGATTGCTGCAGTAAACAGTGATGGCTATAGTTACCTAAATAAGACTGTTAAAAAGTCATCTTTATATTTATCATGATAATATCTCACAGTATTGTGATAAGAGTTTAAGTGCAAATCATCCAGCTCTACTTCAGAGGGATGAAAATCTCTTTCCTCCCTCAGGAACATACAAACCCAGAGTTCGCTGTTATGACACGTATCAGTTGTCCCTTAAATTTGAGCGATGTTTGGATTCTGACGGTAAGTTTCTAAAATTTTTCCCGTTTTTTTTCTACCTCCCTCCAAATAAAAGGTTTAGAACTTTTCCTTTTCCCTCCCAACAGTTGTTGCGTTTGAAATCCTGTCAGACGATTATTCTAAGGTAAGAAAATTAAATTCTGCTCCTTTTGGATTTATTTGTAGTATTTTTATCAGTCCTTATTTAATGTAAGTTAATATTAGACAGATGGAGATGAAAGTGTTAAATGAGTCATAACCTGGTATTTTACCTGTGAAATCTTTCTGAAATTATTCGCACCCGTTTTCATTACCCCCTTTTCCCACAAGTTGGCTTGTTTTTGTGCTCATTCATGGGGAAGTAGAAGTTGCCATGGTTTGTTTACCGTCTCTTACACAGAAGTTAGAAAATTAAACAAGCCATTTTTGAAGCTGTGAGAAAATTCATCCATTCCGGGAAACCGCTCACTCAGCTGTCAGGCAGAAATTGATGTATCGGCCTCTTCGTTCTCGTCTTTGGTTATATCGAGGATATTTGCAGGAAAATGAAATAAAATCTGCTTAATAGTCTCCTGATGGCTGCAAATAAACAAAAAAAAAAGAGAATATCCAAGAACTGACTTGACTGAAACAGCATCGTAGCGACCATCGATGTCCATGATAGAGAATATATTAATACAATAATAATACAAACCTGATGGAAAAACTAACATTAAAGAAGAAATATTTACAAAAGGCTAAGACAAGTTGATATTGTGTAAAATAAAAAATCAAGCTAGAAGGATGGAACGTTCCCTCCCACAGGCTACGCTGTTTGTTCGTTTCACATTCATTTAATATATTTTATCCAATTTTTCTGATCATTTTTGAGTTCCTTGTTTTTAATCTATAGTCGCTTGTTTTAATTTGGAAAATGAAGAACAAAATGATGGAATAGAGACAAGAGTGGTGATAGAAACACTAATTAATTAGTTAATAATGAGTCGCCACCCTTCCAGTATCGATCACACAGTGGGGGAAAACAGCAAAGGGTTTAAATTAGCACGACTCCAACACACGTTTTAATATTGAAAAGTTGGATTTCTGGCGATTTTGCCTTTAAGTATTCTACATATTATATTCTATATAAATATTATATTCAGTTTGACTTCCTCCTGCTCCTGATAATCATGGGAGGAATAAATATTTGAAGAGACCCATATTTGATTTATTTCCTAAACAGATCTATGATCCCAGGACAGTTAAAACACCAAATCTTCTTCCCGCCTCAGAGCCGACAGTCACTTCCTGGTTCTGGGTCGGTTTGCTCCATTTCTCCCCATGAAACCAAAACTCTGCTTAGAACTTGATTCATGATGCAGGAAGAGTTTAAACAGAGAAGGTTTGGAGAAATCCTTCTGCTGCATGAAGGCTGCACAATAAATCTGAACCAATATGAAATAATTCTACTGAGCTCCAATCCTGAACCGCTCGGCATTCTGGGAAATGTAGGACAAGGAAAGGGTTTAGCTTCTCAACGACTCGCAGCTTAACTAAGATTGGTTGTAAAACTGATCTGTTTTTAAAGATTATTTTCAAACAAATTTAGAGATACTATTTAAATTTGATGTTTTTTCACTAAAACACAATAAATAATAATTACTGATATACCGTAAATCCTCTAATATTGGCCTGTATTCCATAAGCAGCCGGGTCTCTAATAATGGCCGGACTCGTATGCAGGCGGCGGCTATAATTGGAACCAACGATGTTCCTGGTCGGTCCTCAGCAACCTGTGATGGTAACATACAGGTACAGGTTTCTGCCGGTCATTAAATTATTGTTTTTTTTTAAATTAATGCCTTAATTGGCATTAAAATTCATTAAATGTGACTTTTATGGCATTTAAAATGCTTTATTTAAAAAATAAAATAAATTAAATAAAAATAAGTTAAATATATCAGATTTAACTGGTTCCATGTTTGCGCGGAACTCCTCCTGGTTGATCCTAAAGCCAAATGTTTGCAAAAGCTTGAGGCACAGAAAAAGCTTGAGAATGGGAAAATTCAAATTTTAACAAAACAAATCCGGAGCTGCAGCTGACGGTAAAGATTACGAAGGATTTGGCCGTGTTTATGTACATATATATATATATATCTATGAGAGCAATGGGTGCTTATTGATGGCATTAAAATAATTTCTAAGATCATTAAAAGAGCATTAAATTACCGTTGCTCCTTTCTGTATAAACCCTGAAGTACCACAGGGGGGCAATATTTGCTAACGAATCCAATCCATTAGCATGGGAAGCCTCATCCTTAGCGCAGACAGTGGACCAGACAGACCGCTTGTTTAGTTTTTATTACTGAAATTGCAGAAAACAACTCGTGAAGTTTGAGCAGCTAGCAGAGCGAGGTGCGCGAGAACGCTGGCACCCTTTCTCCACCTGGATCTCCGCTCTTTTTGGCCCTCATGTCCCTCCGTTGTCGCACAAACTCGCCCCCACTTCCTCATCGCCTCGGGCGTATCTAGACCCACAGCGTATAGCACAGACCACGCTTCAATATTAAGCATAAATCAAAAATGTCTGCATCAAGCTCACTGCGACACTCTGCTGCAGGAGGATAACCAGCCACACAATCGTTCTGATCTGAAATAAACATGTGATCATCGGTTGGTCTGATGGTAACCAGGCAGCGTTAAAAGGACAGAATGGCGTTGGCCTTCATTGTTCTGAATTTCCCTTGAAATATAGGATTCTGGTAGCCTGCTTCCACTTAGCCTGACTCAGATAAAATTAGGCAGTGATGGCAGAACAGTTTTCATAATTTAAAAAAAACGTTGTTTCGCAAATGTCAGTTTGGCAAAAAATTCCATTCTGTCTTTTTTTTTTTTTCATATTGCCAAGCAGAAAAATTGCAGCTGCTGGAAGATGTCTGAATAATTTTCTGTATATCGTCATGGTAACTGTACTTTTTCAATAAATGAAGCTAGTATTTTATAGGTTCAAAGAGACACAAAATCTGTTTTTTATTCATTCCACTGGTCGTCTGTTTTGATCAAATAGAAATAGAGACCTGCCTCTAATTCAGGCCTCCTTCCAATAATGGCCTGGACCAAGATGCACCTGAGTACAATAAAGGCCCCGTCCTATATTAGAGGATTTACGGTAAACTATTATAATTTAGTTTGTTGCAAGGATTTTACAGTTTGAAGAAATAGAAAATGACACCATATGCCGACCGTCACCAGGATGTGCATGAAGGAAGGCTATGGCTACTGCGTGCATCATTTAGGGAGTTTTCATTGGATTACTTCCTGAGCTTCCTGAGTTATTTACGGTCACAGGTAGGAGCTTCAGCCGGAGAGGAAGTGATGGGGCCACTATGATTTAAGGAGGGCCTCGCATGCTGAATTTAGGACCGGCCCACTGGGCAAATGCCCGCTGTCACAGATTACCAGTGATTGTTAGTCATGGAGCTCCAGTGCTCTCCTGTCAAAGCAACATGTTCTGCTGAAGCCAATATTAATCAGTCTACAGTCCGTATCCATCTGGCAGTTTAGTCTGTCAGCTTCTGAGACGAATCGGTAAGGCTGGTCTGATGCCTGCCAGGTGTGATACCTGAACTAACAAATGAATGCTTGATGTTAAGATGATATTTAAGGCCTAAAGTTCTTCTTGCAGTGTGAGCTCACGGTTCCATCTTTGTTTTTGTATCTTATATTTGAACTGTCCATCCAGCGGACCAACAGGTTCTTCTGACTCCTCCATCTCCCTCATGTCAGACAGTTGAAGGGTAAAACAGGGCGGGAATGCATAATAAAAAAAAATTTGTGTAAACTCTAAAAATGAATCACCTTGCGTTAACGCGTTCATTGTGACAGCCCTAGTATTGTTTTTTACAAGCCTAAGATCCAAAGCATTTTTATGTTTGTCCTTTTGGCTAATTGTCTTATTCTCAAATGTCTCTTAGGTTCATTGATGCTGTCATAAGATCAGAACTTGAACTTACCCAACTGTTTTTCTTGCAGCTGGTCTTTTTGCATTGCGATCGCCACGTGGAGTTCCACGCTCAACACGGACACTACTACAAAACTCGTATTCCAAAGTTCGGACGGGACTTCTCCTACCACTATCCCTCCTGTGACCTGTTCTTTGTGGGAATGAGGTGAGAATGAACCCCAGTGTTTGTTGTCGAGGGAAACCCATCGTAGAGAACTAATACTGTTTGTGTTTGAACCTCCAGCTCAGAGGTTTACAGACTGAACCTGGAACAGGGTCGCTTTCTGAACTCCCTTCAGACAGATGCTGCGTACGTACAAACATGTTTGCTTTACTCGATGCTGGTTTGATCCATTATCCTCCAATCCGTCTTTGTTTGGTCGTCATTCAGGGAGAACAACGTATGCGACATCAACCCTGTTCATCATTTGTTTGCAACAGGAACCTCTGAGGTAAGCGACCTTTTGTTGATGCGCTTGCTTGTCTCTTTTTTGGCTCCACCCATAACGGTTAAATATAAGATAAAACTTAGGATGTGTAAACTTTACATTTAGCTGAAGAGCAACGTAAATATAGACACCGAGTATTCTGTAGATGATGTTTGTTTTATGCAGTTTGTTGTTTTCTCCTTTCTGCTTACATAAAACACAAAAAGTGGGACTTTTTTCTGAGTTTTAAAGAAGAACAAATGAGATGTTTTCTCCGCCGTCCAATGGCCAATCCTTCATCACTATGTCCTATTCAAGCATCAATCTTTTATTGTTTTTTTATTGCTTTAATGAAAAGCTGTTTAATGATGAGCACAGATTTTTAGCTTCATTTTGATAAACGTGTGCGTTCTACAAAACTAACTTAATTAGGAAAAAGAAAAAAGCATTTTAAGCAAAGATTAATAAGATTCTGGTTTTCTTAACTGTGATTTTGTTTGTTCACCAGGGCAGGGTGGAATGTTGGGACCCTCGTGTGCGGAACCGGGTGGGCATGCTGGACTGCGCCCTGAGCAGCCTGACTGAGGGAACAGAGTAAGCCGCCATGATCTCTGCTGATCTCAGCGTCTGGAGCCACATGCTGCTTTTCTTCCTGCCGTTAAAATGATCTTTGTCTTTCAAACCAGGGACTCTGGTTTGAATCCATTTCACTTGGTTTAAAAGCCTGTGAGCAAAAATTAATGAGCTGCTGGTGTAGCTAAAGGACTCAGCATTATATAGTAGTAAAAATGTCTTCCTTGGTTTCAGATATTATTCCTCAGGTTTATCTTTGTGGTGATTCCTGTCACCCTCTGCTTGCTAACAGGGTTCAGGGTTTACCCTTCGTCAGTGCGCTGAAGTTTAACGGTTCCCTCACCATGGCAGTAGGAACCAGCACTGGACAGGTGGGTAGAATAATACCATCGTTCAAATTAAAATATTAACATAGCATGAATATGACTGCATTTACATAAACTTTTCTTTATTTTTAGAAAAACAAAAAATACGAGTTATTATACCCTCTATAGTAGGGGTGGAACGGTTCACAAAATCCACGGTTCGGTTCGATTCACGGTTTCTGGTCACGGTTTTCGGTTCGATTCGATACATGTTGATTGTTACACTGAAATTCCATAAAAAATTATGAAATTAATGAAAAAATCCCCCAAAAAATAATGGATTGTAATTATTTTAAATGATCCACGGAAACCCTGGATCATTTCCGTATGTTTTACTGCTTTGAATTTAATCATCTGGCGCATGCCCTCTAACCTTTCAACAGCCAGATGCATGTCTCGCTCATGTCTCGCTCCGCCACATGCATCTGGCTGTTGTCAGGTTACATGCCCTCTACCATCTCCAAGGAACTCAGAGGAGGCTGTAGGCTTTGCTTTGAGCAGCCGGTCTGGAGCGCAGCGGGGCGGAGCAGGGGTTGCTGACGGAGTATGAGGGATTTCGGGGTTAGCACGACATGTTGCTGTTAGCATAAACGAAACGTGTTGCACACTGTTGCACTTTTATCCACAACTTTCTTTCCGCCGTCATCGTAGGTCACTCTAAATGCAAAGTGGTCCCATACAGCAGACCTATAAAGTGCTGCTGGCCCGTCTTCCAACTCCTGTTCTTTCCCACTCGCCATACCCACACAATTCTCCACAACAACTGATTTTATTCTGCTACACCCGGCTACGCTGCTTCACTTCTTCTTATTCTTGTTTACTACTGGCGGTTGGCTTTGGTCGCAGTACCGCCACCTTCTGCTCTGGTGTGTAATCGCTTCCTCTATGAGAAAAAGGAGCAGCGCATGAACCGAACGCAACACACGCGAACCGAACTGAGACAGTCAAACCGAACGATTCTGACGGTTTTCATAAATCGTCTCATCCCTACTCTATAGATTCAACGAAGGAAATAGAATTAAACATTTTATCCCAAAATCCCTCCCTGCAGCGCTTCCTGAAGAGTTTAGACCTTTTAGAGCCCATTTTATACTCTTTCACACCCACCATGGTGATTTAAATAGCCTTTAAAGCCATAGGGAAATCATTTTTAAATGTCGAATCATTCTGGCTTAAACATGTATATAAATGTGCTCTCTATCAGACCATATTGTCCCAAAATTTAGAAAATATCTATTTAAAAAAAAAAAAATCCTGTCCTAAAATCTGTGTTTTTTCTCCGTTATCTTCTGCAGGCCAGTTAGTTCTACGTCAGCCTGAACACCTAAATTCAGCCAATCATACATCAACGGTCATCTGTCAATCAAATGTTTTCGGTCATAGCATCTTGATTCATATGTCGCAGCTAATATACGCAGCAGTTGAAACCAGAATCCTTTCCGCTGTCCATAGCGTTCCTTGACAGCGTCGTTTCTAAGTCACCAATTTAGTGCTACTTGGTCCCAATGGAATTTCCCATTGGGAACCTGCTAGCACTAAGTTGCTAACTGGTTAGCAAGATGCTTCCCACAAACCGGCCACAAACAAAAGTCTTGCAAATCTTCTGCCACAACAATCCCGCCTCCTTTATAATCGACCAATCATATTCACTTTATTCCCTGGTGTAAAGTCGGGCACCACTGGGAGAATTCGGAGCTGAAACGGTTGGAACGGCCGCTTCCCTACGACTTTAAGTGAATGTCTATTATAACACCTATTGAAAAAGTTAGGGAAATATAACCTGTAATTTTAGTTCAGTTTCTTACATGAGAATCAACATTTTACTTTTTTTTTCTTCTTTAAAATCACAGATGCCACCAGTAGTGAACCACTAGTGAACCTGCAGATTGTGAGCGAAGTGCTCTGTTAGTTCAGATGCACTGCATCAAAATTAGGATTAACTTGAGAGAAACATTACGACTATTTTTCCTAAAGTTGTTCATCCGTGTTTAAAAGATGTGAGCAGACTTATGAGCTTCACTTAGGATTTATAATGACTCAATGTCAATAAATGTATTTAGTAGTAGATGAAATAGATGGATATAAAGTTATAAGTTATTATTGTCCTTTTTTCTCTTTCTTCTCTCTCCTTCATCTTCCTTTGTCCCCCAGGTGCTGTTATACGACCTGCGCTCCAGTCGACCGCTGCTGGTCAAAGATCATTTCTACAACCTCCCGATCAAGTCGCTGAACTTCCATGAGCAGCTTGACCTCATCGTTTCCGCCGACTCCAAGATAATAAAGATCTGGAACAAAGACTCGGTAAAGGAGAGCGGCTGCACTCCCTGTTCTGTTTACTTAGTCTTTTTATCAGCAGTGATGATGTGTGTGAATGAGTCAGAGAGGAAGGTGATGTGGTGTAATGTCTGTGAATCATATTCTTTTTTTTTTTATGCCCTACAGGGAAAGTTGTTCACCTCCCTTCAGCCTCAGACTGATATCAATGATGTCTGTATTTACCCTAAATCAGGTGAGACCAAACCTTCCTGTGGTTTTATTGTTGTCTTGACATGACAGAAGTTTTTCCATAAGCTATACATGATGCACCGCTTCTTTCTGTTTTAACTGGTTCAGCGAAACGGATACGGTAGAAACTATTTTAGCTGGAGGTGATGAAATAGAATGAGCTTTATAAAACTCCCTGTTTAGATTAGTTTAAAAGCAGAACCTTTAAGGCTGATTTATACTGAGAAACCAGGTCGTCTGCGTTTGTTTGCAGTGAACGAAGATATGCCCCGCCCCTTCCACAGACACTTTGCTAAACCTCTCTAAAACTGTAGGTGACCGCAGACAGAAGGCCTCTGATTGGTCAAATCTACATCCGCTCTAATCCGATATAATGATCCTACTATAAAGGAAAAAAAAAATCTGTGTTATGTGGACGTCATATGTTCTGTATATTTCCCCATGCACCTTTTTCTTTGTTTGGCGCATTCTTCTAAATTGCTCCACAGTGTCAATCAATCAATGAAATGACATTAGAACAGACATGAACTCGGTCAGTACCTCTTCCCTCCACCAGGGGGACGTCCAGTCAGGGCTGCCACTGACATGATAATTTTTTATAGAATTCATTTTCATATTAAAACATATTTTTAGGTTTTATAATTTGGAATATAGTTAAAAGAGAAAATGTTATCTTTAGTATTAATTAATACTCTTTAAAATAATGAATTGTATGTTTTTCTTACTTTAAATAGGACTAAATGATGCCATGAGGTTTTTGATTGTTGGGTGAAAACAAAGTAGGATTATTTACTCTCCTTGAATTTTATTTCTTTATGCAGTCAACCTCTGGATGGCGCCATTTCTTCTTCTCTTCTAGCAGCTTGTTTGTTTCAGCCTCTGTTCATTTTAGTTAGAAGAGCAGCAGATATTTATGAGCTCATATGATTTCGTGCCCTTAGCTCAACTTTTATACGACTTTCTAAAACAAATCATTAAAGTCGTAAAAAGGCTTCATCTGACTTCCACCCTGTGTTTGGTCTCATGAACAGGAATGCTGTTCACAGCCAATGAAGACCCCAAAATGAACACGTTCTACATCCCGGTGAGTACAGACACATGGCAGAAGAAACCGTCTGAGGAAACGGTTTAATCAAAGGACCTTCATCCACTTATGATCATTAGATGAATTAGGGCCTTTAGTTGTGACCATCCTGTTTGACAGACCCTCCATTAATATTGAAAACATGAAGTAGGTGCATGTGAAGTTATTGGTTTTTCCCTCTAATATATTGATATAATATATACTATATATTATATTAATATTATATACTATACCCTAAAAAGGTGAAAACAGTTTTTCTAGATAATTTTCAAGATAAGTAAAGTTATCATAAACCAGAAGATGTTGATGAACTTCCCTGGAAACCAAAAAAAGAAAACCTTCAAACCATCCGTCTACTGAAGAAAGGGTGAGAGGAAGATTGACCACAGTGACGGTCACGTTAATGATGGTCTATAATGGTGCCACTGGTACTGATTCATCACATGAAGTGTTTGGCATAAAGAAGAGAGGCTTCCTCCATGTTGATGAGCTTCATTGGTCAGGGTTAGCGTCACAGTTAGGATCCCAGGTAGAAACCAGAACTGCTTGGATGAATAAAACAGGCTAACGTGAGGTAAAGGCTGAGGAAGGAGCGGATACCGTGTTTTTCGGACTAAAAGTCGCACCTTTTTGAAAGGTTCTTCTGATAACTGGTGCTTGGTGGGCTACTGCAGGAAGGCCGTTTTGTTTATTTCATTAAGGAGCCTCTCAGAAGCAGCGATAACGCAACAGTTGCCTTGTGGCCTACTCTGGTTGTTTTAAATATCACCACTACTATCATTAATCACTACCGTTATATAGTGATACTGATACCTGGCTGTGCAGCATCGGTCGATATCGATACCATCTGTTTGAAATAATGTGTTTGTATATATGGAGAACTGCAGACTACTAGGATGTAAAATAATCACCATCATGGCGTCAAGCTGCTGCCTTCCTTTGTGAAGCAGGAAACAGACTAAAACAAAGTGAATCCAGTAGAACTTTTTATTGCCTGGAATGGGTGACAATAGTTGAAGAAACTTTAGGCTCTCAAAATGATATCGATGCCCTATTGGTTGGTACTCACTAATACTGATTGCACGATTTTAGTGCTGAATCGGGGCCCCGCCCCATATTGGTATCAGTGCAACACTAGTTATAGGCGTACATGTAAAAGGCCTGGTCTGCAGACCTATTTTATAGCCTGATTTACACTTTGAATGAGTTTGCTTTTAGAACAGTTTCGCGCTCAGGCTCATCGCCTCATGGCCCTTTGTCAATAAACCTGCAGTCACCATCGAGGAGTTTCATTCTTCTTTCAATTTCTAACCTATTTTTTACTGGATCCAAACTGTCGTTCAGCGGCCATGTTGCCGTTTCCGACTGCGTAGTTAATTACTTTCAGCTTGAATTCAGCAGTATACGAGTTTCTTTTGGGTGGCATATTTCTATTCATTCGTTGTTGTTATAATGCTAATTCATTTTGTTGTGGTAAGTAGTAACCAGTAATATAATACATGTTGTTATGTGCAAAGCTGCATAGCGCCCTCTCGTGGTGAAAAAAACGTATATATGTCGCATCAGAGTATAGGTCGCATGGCCAGCATAACCCTGAAAAAAGTGCAACTTTCAGTCCGAATAATACGGTATCTAGAAAACAGAAGGTCGAGACGAGGAAACCAATAAAATCAATCAGCTGAGAGACGACGACAAACATCGTCTAGTTTTCCTACAACTTAGTGTTAATTTAAAGTGGGCTCTCTTAAAAAGGGAAAACAAACATTTGTAGCCTCATCTTCATTTGAAGGTTAGATGAGGGTGGATGGATTATTAGTCCATCCTGGAAATAGAAGTGAAGTCACTATAAAAGTCCAGAATTAATCTCTGAAAACAGCTGCTTTAAAAGCAGCACTTTAGAAGCAAACAAAAGAAAAGAAAGCTGCTTGTTTTTGGCTTCTGATGCTCAGAGATGGAGCAACGTGTCCTGTGACTCACAGGGGGGGGGGTGTATACTGTAAACCCAGAAAATGAGGGCATTCCTGCTGGATCAACCTTCATCCTAGATACAGCTTCACCAGATCCCCTGAGAACTTTTTATGGTAACATTTTTTTATTGCAAGTTTTAAAAGTTTACCAAATAAATCGTAGTTAAAGAAAACCTTTTAAACCACATGTGAGCCGAACATATAAACAGCAAACCTTATCTGAGTAATTCAGCTCCATTACATGCAACCCATTTCATTCCAGTTCGATTATTTACTTTCTTAAGTCAAAAAATACTAATTTAATGAAACTGCTCTGCACTAAGAAATAAATCTCATGAACTTCTCTGTTTTTCTTCTACATTGAGCTTTAAAAAAGGGTCATTTTACTACAAATAAAATATTAAAGCTAGAATCGGAACTTAAAACATTCACTGTGTTTGTTTTAGTTTGATTAAAGATGAATGTTTGTAACTAAAGTGTTTTTAGTGAGAATGAGAAGAAAAGTGAAGCTAAAAACAGAATCCTAGAACCAGCTGCTTATTTAGAGGTAAAACTTTGATCAAAAATGATTCACTAACATGGAAGAAAAGACTTTAATTTATGCTGTAAAACTGACGGTAATATTTCTAAGTTAAAGAGCCTTTCTGGGTTTGAAGCGGCTCATTAACTTGTTGTTCTCGCTTTGATCCACAGTCTGATGGGATTTTCTGAGAAGTGCATTAAGGTCTTTGCTTGCATGAAGTGTTTCTTGTCTTTTTTTTTTTTTTTCCCAGAGTCGGTGAAGAAACTTTCAGAGAAGATTCTTTAATGTGCTCTGGCTTGTAAAGGCAGCGCGCTTTAGGTGTTTCCTGCAGGATAGAAGTATTTCTCTTTATCTAATGCGAGGGAACCTTCAACTCCTTTGCCTGCAGTCTTTAAAACAGTTAATATTCAAAATTGTGTTTAACTGAAAGCGTATTTTCTAGTTGTTATCAATGAAGTGAAGAATTAGAAAATAAAGCAAACTTTTTCCAGAATTGTTGCATAAGGTGTGACTGAATGCAGCTGCTGTTCATGCCTGAACGCAGCAGCGTTATTAAAGAGGGAGCAAAGTTCCAGGCTGACAGAATAATCAATAAATGAAAGGGTTGTTTCTATAACTTCTCTTTCTTTTAATGCAAATGAAAATAAGAATTGGATCAAAGGTTTCAACTGTTGGTGAAAGAAAGGTATAAGCAAGTTTGGATTTAAAGCAAGTTTTTAAATACCTTTCCGTCTGTCAAGCTTTGACTTACCTTTACTTTTTTATTCAGTGTATTTCTATAGCTCCAGTTCACATCATGTCATCTCAGGTCACTTTATAGATCCACATCAGCCAGATCATCCAGTCAGATTGATTCAAAGTTTTCTATCTAAGGAAAACCAGCTGATTTCATCGACTCATTGACTCTTCAGCAATCCCTCACACTAAGCATGCTTGTAGCGACAGTGGAGAGGAAAAACTCCCTTTGAACAGGAAGAAACCTCCAGCAGAACCAGGCTCAGTGTGAGCGGCCATCTGCTGAGGCCCACTGGGGTTCAAGGAGACAGAATCAGACATAGAAAAAGAAGCATAGATACAAAAGGCAACTGTCAACCAGCTCCACAGGCGGCCCCGTCCAGGAAACACACAGCCAGGCAGACGAGCTCCGAGCCAGCTCCCATGTCAGAGGATGAAGAGAGCACATCCAGTTAGTCACAGTCAGAGAAACAGGACTACACTGGAAAACAGGCCAAGCTCCAACATCTAGAAACAAAGGTGTTGATGGCAGCAGCACAGCTGATATTTCTCTCCAGGATGGAGTCACAGCCAAACAGGAACAGACCAGATGAAGCTACTATGAGAAAAAGCAGAGAGAGCAGAACGTTAGAGATTGAACTAACAGATTCTGCAGAGTGGGAGAATAGAGATAGAATGAAGCAGAATGATGAAATGGGGGTCCCTATGTCCTCCAGCAGTCTAAGCCTATAGCAGCAGAACTATAGAGATAGAATGAAGCAGAGAGAGCAGAACGTTAGACGCTTTCAAGCTTATTGGTAAAATGGAAACTGACTGGGATCATCATCATCATCATTTTTCATTTCTGAAAGATGATGATGATGATGATATTGTTTGACAGGGTTAGGGTTTTTTATTAGACAGTACCAGTCCATCCATCCATTTTTAATCCATCCATCCATCCAAGATTCACTTAAAGCCATTTTTTTGTAAATGTCTGCCAGAAAGGTATTGCTATCTTTTTCTATTATTTATAAATGGTTTGCTAAACTTTGAAAAGTAGAACATGCAAAATGTGAACTTATGTCATGAAGCTCACTAGAAAAACAATCTAGAAATAAGTAAAAATATCTTAAATTAATTGTATTTACCCATACTTTGAGTGGGTAAAGGAGACTGCCAATGGAATGAGTATTTTTCTATATTTGGATAATATGCACTTTAAATATTTTAAGTGTAAATTGTCTTGTTTTATTGGCAAAATGTCTCTTTTACCTCCTCAATTCAAGAACAAATGCACTTATTTTAAGTAAAAATGACTTATCTGGAATTAGATTTTTTCCAGTGCAGTGCTTCAATGGTCTAATTGGTTTCCTGTGAACGATTTGAAGACAGCAGTCCCTCACAGGACTGTCTGCTTCACAGGAGAAAAAGCTTCTGTTTGAATCTGAACACATCTTTATAAATATGCGTCGTTCTTCTGGCCAGAATGGAAGCAGATGTTCCTGTGCCGCCTAAATGGGAAAGCTGTTTGAAGTTTGCCGCTCTTGTGTTCAGGCGTTGGGCCCCGCTCCTCGCTGGTGCTCCTTCCTGGACAGCCTGACGGAGGAGCTGGAGGAGAGCCCGGAGTCCACCGTGTACGATGACTACAAGTTTGTTACCAGGAAGGACCTGGAGAATCTGGGTGAGACTCACTGACATGAAAGGTTTAGAGAAATACGATCGCTGAGGACGGTCAGACTATCTGGGGATCGATTGAAACACTTCAGATGTGTCGGCAGAGGAGCCCAGAGGGGTTGAATGAACAGAGGAATGCAGCGTCAGCAGGGAGGAGATCAGGTGACAGTAAGCAGGACAGTGGTTGGTTGGTGGGGAGTGGGGGGGGTCCTGTTGATTTACAGGAGCCCCGTACTGCAGCTGTTACATAACCAACCGAGGTCGGCTGAGTTTAACCGTAGAGGTTCCCAGGAAAAGCTCCTCCAGCTTCCTGCTGCTCCCAGTCACATCCCAGCGATTAATGACCCCAGATACATAAATCAGCCTCTTTATTTACAGATAGAATGAAATAAATCTGTTTTTACTCATTTTATCTTCCCAGAATAAAGGAAAAAATCCTGTTTCACCAATAATGTAAAAAAGAGACTTTTCTCTCTTTTTCCATCTTTTAAGTCCAATTGTTGCTAATTTCTGCTCACGTCTCTAAAGGCTCGCTTACTTTACCCGTAGATCAGGTGTTGTATATGAAGAGGCGTCCATGTTTGTTTTTGCATTCATCCGCATGTAGAAGCAGGTTATGCTCCGATTGTTTCCAGTTTTCGCTGTAATGATTGTTTATTCCTCAACAGATAAGAGGCACTTTACCTTTTATCTTCTGTTTCATGGTCATCATATAAAATGGATGTAAAGGGGGGTGACCCCCCCCCTGGTAACGATATATAAAATGGGCTTCCTATGCGATGAAGTGTTTTCCAATCCTGGAAGACCAGAAGGAAAAGAATCCAACCATTTCCATGGTCCACTCCTCTAGATGCATGTCCAACTGTGTCTCTGTCCTCCCATTATTTATTTACCGCCTATCCATTCGTCCAATCTGCAATATTTTAACCCTTTATTGGGCAAGTTAGCCTTTTTGATCGCTTCCAATCCGTAGATGCGTAGCGAGGATTTTTTTAGGTGCATAACGACTAAAAAATGTCAGTGCCAGTATATTAATGGCTCTAAGGTTATGTTGGACCCAAAAAAATGTTTCTTTCACTCTGAGTGCTTTTCATCATTTTCTTCTAGAAGCGCTTTTGTTGTTTTTCTTAATATATTCAGACAAGTTACCGTTTCTTGTTATTACATTGACATTAATTTATGATTTCCAAAGTATTTCACTGTGTGCCCTATAAAGGGTTTAGGTTGTAAGTTCCTAAAGGATCAGATTTTCCCCCCAAAGACTCACATAGAATGTAATTTAAAGCCATTCTGTTGTCTAAATATCTTGTGTATGTTTTGTTTTCCAGGTTTGTCTCACCTGGTGGGATCACCTCTGCTCAGAGCCTACATGCACGGCTTCTTCATGGACATAAGGCTGTATCATAAGGTGGGCTGTTTGCTGCCATAGCAGGTTGTTCCCATCTTTAAAATATGTTGGATCATGAGGATCAGATGGATTCCTAAAAATGAGTCCTATTCTGTTTTGGTTGCAGGTGAAAACCATGGCTAATCCTTTTGCATATGAGGAATACCGCAAGGATAAGATCCGGCAGAAGATTGAAGAGTCCAGAACGCAGAGAGTCCAGATTAAGGTGAGGAACATTTTTAATGGAAGGGAGGGGTACATTACTTGACATTTCTTAAGTTACTGATCATTTCAATCAGGATTCCTCTGGTTTCAACAAGCTGAACCCGTGTTGTTTTTGTGCCCTCATCCTGTCTTAACTTGCTACATGAACCTATAGGAAGCTCTTAGAAACATGATTCAAGGGTGTGAGCAGCAGAGCGTGTGTCATAAGGTGTTGTTCTGGCGTGTAATCAAGCGTACGCTTCGTTATGATGAAACAGAAGCTGCCCAAGGTGAACAAGGAGCTGGCCCTCAAGCTGATGGAGGAGGGAGACGAAGAGGCAGAGCTGGCTTCCAGGAAGAAAAAGGGAAAGGTGGGAAAGTGGTCACACCCTGACTTTACTCAGAATTGACCAACAAACGTGAAGCTGTAACAAAATGTTCTAACACACTTTTATAAATCATAGCCTTATGTTTCCTAAACAGCCTATCAGGCATGAGTTCAGTTCAGGAAATGATCCTCCATGTTTCCTCTTGGTGAAATCGGCAGGCGGTCCCCAGCATCCTGGGAGACGACCGTTTCAAGGTGATGTTCGAGAACCCAGACTTCCAGGTGGACGAGCAGAGCGAGGAGTTCCGGCTGCTCAACCCCATCGTCTCCAAGGTGGGACAGAAGAGGAAGAAGACGCTGCGCCTGCAGGCTCAGCAGGAGGCCGCCGTCCAGCAGGTACGCGCTGCCATGGCGGCGATGCTAACAGCAGAGTTCATATTAAGAAACCTACGGAGGCCGAGAGCCGTCCTTTCCCTCTAAGACTTTTTCACTGTGATTTTCTCGTGAAAACAAGTTAGTTTTTCATTATCTAAATATAACAAAAACGTTTTCTCGTGATAACGAGATGATTGATGTTAAAACTGATTACATCCTTCAATACCACAACATGGGAGAAGATCTATAAGTCATGGCAGCCGGTGTTTAATCCTGAAAATAATCCTGTTTTTAACTTTTATGTAACGAGACCAGATTGTTGGTTTGATGATTTGCTTCCACCTCTGATTCATAAGCAGTTCGACCTTCTTAGCGCCAGTGTTTTCCTGAACAGCGCCGACTGTAACAGTTATAAGATGCTTTAACCCCCAAAATTAGTCCAGATTAAAGATTTTCATTGAAAGGCAGTCAGATTTGTTTCTACTGTATTTCATGCAATCCAATCATCCATCACGACCTGACAATGAGAAACTAAAAACACGCGGTCCCGTAACTTCATAACTAGGGGCCCTGCAGGCATGGATGGACTGGGAATCCAGGGCTGTTGGCCAGCCTCATTCATTACTCACACTGGTTAATCATCTCGCTCTTCAGAAATCAATAACTGTTTTCTAGCGATAACGACATAATTATAAATTTGACCGCTCTCTGCTTCCGTAGAAACCAAATGATAGAATCGGGTTTTTTGATCAAAAAAGCTCATTTATTCATAAATTTGCATGGAATGAAGGAAAGTGACTCGCGTATCAATTAGGTTGTTTGAACTCCATCATCTTCTCTGTTTAGGCGGCTGATGAAGAAGAGGAGCCAGAGGGCCGAGCCAGCTCAGAGGAGGAGAGCTCCGACGACGACAAGAGCTGGGTGGAGGAGGTGAGGGAGCAGCGGAGGTTACTGCGGCAGGAGGACAGAGACCGGCGGCGGCAGGAAAGGAGGGAGGCCGACCGGAGCACCGTCCTGCTGGAGCGGGGAGAGAAACCCGAGAGCAAGAAGACGAGTCAGCCGCAGTTTTATCAGATCAAGGCCGGAGAGGAGTTCAGGAGTTTTGGCGACATGGCCCGCAAGCAGAAGCTGCAGAAGTACGCGGCGTGTTTTTGTGGAGAGCGGCTGTCCTGTCCTCATCGCTCTGTTTGCTAATTGGCTGTTTGTTTCAGGGCTTCTCTGGAGGAGCGGCTAAAGCTGGAGGAAAGCTCAGGGATCAGCAGCAGCGCGGTGGACACAGCAGTGGGCAGCAAACAGCTGACATTCACTTTAAAAAAGGTACAGATGCTGATGTCACAGCGCTTTGCTGCAGCAGAGTGGCACGCCAAGATAAGACGGCATGTTAACTGTAAACGAAGTGACTCAGAGAGGCTTAAAGGAATAGTACACCCAAAACATGATTAGCCTTCATTTTCTACTCACCCTCATGCTGAACAACACTCTGGAGTACTTTTTTGATATCTCAAATGCATCTGGAGATCTGGGAGGCTTCTTGCTGTCTGCTGACATTCAAATAATGGAGGTCTATGGCGCCCGAGACAGAAAGGTCCACAAAAGTCCACAAAAACGTGTCAATATTCCTCCATACTGCTCGTCCAATGTAATCCAAGTGTCCTGAGTGGGTAGCATCCAGAATTTACTCGAAACGAAGTCATTTAGAACGTTTTAGAGCCTAAACAGTAGTGTATAGGATTTCCTAATAGCGCCCCCATGCGCGCTCACGATTCTACGGAAGCCGGCAGACCAAACCAGCGCATTCAGCTCGGCAAAGAACTCATGCTCTTCCTCAACACTGAAGTCCTCAGACATTTTTCTTTCGTTGTTTCTTTCTTTGCACAGGTAAACAGCACATTTCTTCTTCTACGCTTGCATTATCGGCAGAGGAGACGCTGAATGCGCACTTTCTTCCGGTTTGGTCTGCCGGCTTCCGTAGAATCGTGAGCGCGTATGGGGGCGCTATTAGGAAATCCTATACACTACTGTTTATGCTCTAAAAACATTCTAAATGACTTCGTTTCGAGTAAATTCTGGATGCTACCCACTCAGGACACTTGGATTACATTGGACGAGCAGTATGGAGGAATATTGACACGTTTTTGTGGACTTTTGTGGACCTTTCTGTCTCGGGCGCCATAGACCTCCATTATTTGAATGTCAGCAGACAGCAAGAAGCCTCCCAGATCTCCAGATGCATTTGAGATATCAAAAAAGTACTCCAGAGTGTTGTTCAGCATGGGGGTGAGTAGAAAATGAAGGCTAATCATGTTTTGGGTGTACTATTCCTTTAAGGTGAAGGAGAATGAGTTGAGAACCTTAAATCCTGGTTGTGTTTAGCAAACTCCACACATTTCTGCTGTTAGAACAGAGAAGGCCTCTACCATCATCGCTGATCGCAAGAAGCAACTTGTTCCTGCAGTTCTCTATTGCTGGTGACACTTTTTACTCATCCTCCTCACTAATTAGCAGGACAAATTTCTCCTTAAAGTGTGAAAAATCAGTTTTCTCTGCTAAATGATCTTTAATATCAGATGTTTATTAAAAAAGCAACAGTTGAATAACATGAAGGTAAAAAGTGAACCAGAGGACTGAAGTTACTTCCACACAGCAGATGTTGAACATCTGTATTTCTGCCCTGTGTTCAGTCGGAGCAGCAGCGGAAGCAGCAGCAGGCGGAGAAGGAACACCACGAGGAGAGGAAGAAGCTGAGACGCTCTGCCGGACACCTGAGCAGTGCTCGTGGGAGAGGAAGAGGACGGGGGAGAGGAAGAGGAAGGGGCCGTTACTGAAGAGAGACCCCACAACTTGCAAACTCAGATCAAATGTTTCTCTGACCTTTTTCTTTTTCCTCAGCCTCCTTCTTCCATTGGTGGGAGAGAAAAATCCTGCAAGTCTAAAAGAGATCTTGACATATTTAGTGATAGATCCGTCTGTCTCCCGGGTGGTCTGAGCCTCCTGTCTGAACGCCATGCAAATTAAAACAGGTTACCTCTGTGAACGCCTGTTTTAATATGAAACGAATGGCGTCTCTTATTCTCGACTGCAAATTGAGCTGTTGGTTGAGATTTCCAAGGAAACTCCTTCTAAAAAATATATTTTCTAACCAGGAGAGACACAAATGTAATTTTACTGTCCTTTTTTATATATTGCTAATCCATAATTATGTTATTGTATAAAGCAATCGATGGACATTTGCAGTATATTTGTATAAAGATGTGTTTTTACTGTTTAAAGCTGTGGCATTAGTTATTATGGCATCCAATCACACTGTAGTTTATTTATTGACTTTATTGACTTTATTGATCCAACAGTGGAGAAATTTACTCGTTCTGTCGCTCAAAGGTCAGAAGGAAGAAGGTGCCAAGAGGAGGAAAAGGTGCATGGGGTTATATATAAATAAATATATATATATATATTTTTTTTTTTTTTTTTTCCCCCACTCTGTTTCATTGCAGCCATTTCATTAAAGGAAAACAAAAGTCAAATGGTCTTAAGTATTTAGACCCTTTGCTGAATATTAAGTAGATTCACCCTTTTGAACTTGTGCAGCAATGAGTCTTTGGACCAAGTTTTTGACACCTGGATTAGGGGATCCATTTTTCTCAGGTTGGATGGTGAACACTGGTGAGATGCTCTATTGGGTCTAAGGCTCTAGCTGGGCCAGTCTAGGATGATCAGAGTTGTTGAAGCCATTATTTTTATTATTTTGCTTCAGGTCATCATCTTTTCTGAAGCTGGACCCTCTGGAAGATGATTGTTTCCACAGTGTCTCTGTACTTGGTCCAATTTATCTGTCCTTGAGCAGCAACCAGTCATCAGGTCCCTTGAGTTGAAAAATGCCCCCATAGCATTATGCTGCTACCACCATGTTTCACTGTTAGGACTGTATTGGGCAGGTGTGAGCAGCGCCTTGTTTTCTGCACACATTCTGCTTAGAATTCAATATTTGCCTCATATGACCAGAGAATGTTTTGGAAGCTGACTGACTTTGTGGAACTTTCTCCCAGCTTGCTACTGCATCTCTGGAGCTCCTTCACCGTGATCTTTGGCTCCTTCTCTTCCCAAGGCTCTCCTCCCTCCATTGCTCAGTTTGGCTGGACGACCAGGTCTAGGTAGAGTTCTAGTCGTCTCAAACTTCTTCCATTTAAAGGTTATGGAGATCTGCACCTTGCCAAAATTCTGTCGGAACTCTTTTGGTCGGTTCTCGCTTGCTCTGGCCTGGGCTGTAAGATTTATAGACGGGTGTGGGCCTTTCCTAATCAAGTCCAATCAGTATAATTAAACACTGCTGGACTCTAATGTAAAATAAAACCAACTTAAGAAGAATCAGGAGAATTCGTCAGCCATATTTCTCAAGTAGGAGTGTCACAGCAAAGGGTCCGAATATGACTTAAATATGCTGATTATATATTAATGAAAAATAAAGCAAATGGCTGCAATTAAACAAAGAATGGCAAATTTAAAGGGTTGTGAATACTTTTTGTAGCTTGTATATTCCAGTTTAATGGAAGTTGGATGGAAGGAAGACGTTTCAGGCGCAACCACACAAACTTATCCAGGCTCCAACTGTTGCATTCTTGATCTGTGTTAAAAGCTTAAAAAATTAAGTTCTTAGAGTCTGAAGGAAGATTTAAAAGCAAAAGTTTCTTGATTTCCAATTTAAAGTTTTCTTGCTCAATTACAGGCATAATGTTAGGACATTATCCATCCGTGTTTGATAAGCTGTTGCCGTAATATTACACCTCAGTAAGGTTCTGGAGGCTGTTTAAAATGGCCGACGTCAGCAGTAAAAACATCTGCAGGGTTAGTAGAGTTGATACACTGAAGAGACTATCGTCAGTATAATAAAAAGTCCCGTCAGATTAATAATGAACTCCAAAAGAGATTGTGGATCCCTCTAATGAAAGATGATTACTGATTATTATTATTATCCATACAACAAAATGTCTTTGATCAGAGGCTTTTATGATATATTAGAACAGATCACTACAGGAAATATAGCTATAACCATCTGAAGAAATTTGGATTTAAATTACTAATTCTAACTTTGGCATTAGTAACGTTTTATTGTTAATTTGGATAAAATCATAAACATTACCAGAAATTCATTTATTACAAATAATCAATTTTATGTATTGACTCTTCTTAACTCATCTACAAACAAAGGCCTTTTAAATTTATGGGGAAATAAATTTTTCTTTTACTCTTGGTCCATTATTGAAGTCAACCCAACAAACAGTAATAAACTCCCAGTTATGACTATTTTCTTCTTGTTTCCACCTGATGATTATCAGCAGCTCAGGAGAAAGAACATGTTTGGTCTTTTGGATAAAAGGATCCCATCCGCCTCGGCACCAAAGGCTTCATCTGTTCAGAGCCAATGCCCCTCAGGCTCATTTAAACTCATTTCATGTCAGCTTAACATTTCCATGTAATTCATCTAGCAGATCTATACCTGTGAAATGATATTAGTTTGCATATTGTGTCATTAGTTTTCCTTTAATCAAATCAGGACCTCCAGCTATGTAACACTGAAGTACATTTTGTGAACATTGTGTTATTTTCAATTTATTCAAACTGACGTTGGTGACATTTCCTGCCTTTATTCCCGTTATCCTTTTCAACCTGAGTTGAGAACATTCTGTCATCCTGCTTTGTAAATACAGGAAAACCGGTTGCATAAAATAGTATTTTTGTCATTTGTGCGCTTTAATTGGATTTTGATGACTAACCTGTAGCCTTATGTCCTTTGTGTTGGCACATCAGTAATGCTGTTTCTCTGTTGAACACATCAACATCAATCTCCTTGCAGGCGCCTTGATCCCTTTTCCTCCACAAAGCTGCGGCTTCACCGTGGCAACCAACAGTTAGGAGACCAGAAGTAGGTCACCAAAAATAAAACAGAATCTGAACAAACTGCACCAATGCAGCAATTAAAGAACCGAGGTAGATGTTTAGAAGGGCGCATCAGTTTAAAAAAGAATCATTCATTTCAGGATAATGCATCTCAGATCTGGTTTCATTCCTTAGCTGGATCTTTTTACTTCTCATAAGCATGACGTCCAGATTTTACTGCAGAGAATGTAACTGCTTATTGTGACTCTGAGGCACTATTTCCTCCAAACATAAATCATGTTTGTTTGAGGGAAAGTCATTCTGATCACCATCATCTTGGGATGCTTTTCTTCAGCAGGGACTGTAACGCTGGTCAGATCTGTTGGAGACGGATGCAGCTAAATGCAGGGTGACCTCTAAAAGGAACCAGCTGGATGTTTGCACTTTGAACTGGCGTGCGACAGAGCCCAGTCCAAAGAGCTGTAATACCAAGAATATTTGCACACCCATCCAAGTGGTTGTTATCAGGTGTTCCAATCACTTCCATGACCACAGATGTGAGAAATCAAGCACCTAGGTATGCAGGCTGTTGTTGCAAACATTTGCAAATAGTAAATGGCCTGTGGTTATATAACTTTTTCAAATCAGGAGACTTGGCCAAAGCAATTTACATTCACACACACTGATGGTGGCAAACTACAATAAAGCCACAGCTGCCCTGGGGTTCACTGACAGAAGCAGAGCTGCCGTACTCTGGGGCCACCGAGCCCTCTGACCACCATCAGTAGACAATGCAGGAAAGGTGTCTTGCCCAAGGACACGACACTGTAAGCTGAGGCCTGAACCGACAACCCTTCGATCACAGGGCAAACTCCTGCACCTGATGCCACTGTCACCAATATTTGATGAAGAATGGGTGATAGGATGTCACCAGTGTGACAAATTATTTTTCAGGTGTATAATGATATAATTGAAGTGTTTGGGGATGACAGCATCTCAGCCATGTCAATCACTACGCACATCAAAACTTCACTTTGGATTAGCTCAAGCACAGTGTGCAGAGAGCCTCATGGAATAGATTTCCATAGTCGAGCCACAGCATCCAAGCCAAGCATCACCAAGAGGAAAAGCAAAGCGTTGAATACAGCGGCATAAAGCATGCCGCCACCGGACACTAGAGCAGCGCAGATGCGTTTTCTGGAGTGACGAATCCCTCTTCTACATTTGGAAATCGATGGAAAAGTCTAGGTTATTTGTGTTATTTCACAGGAGCGGTGCTTGGCCCCTTAGTTCCAGTGAAAGGAACTCTGGATGATTCAGCATACCAAGACATTTGTAACAATGCATGGGAACAGTTTGGAGCTGACTCCTTTCCCTTCCAACTTGACTGTGGACCAAAGGACAAAGCAAGGTCCACTGAACTTCACTGGCCTGCACAGTGTTCCAAACTCAACCCATCAGAACACCTTTGGGAGACCGGCGACAGCGCTAGTTCTTCTCGTCCAACATCAGTTTGTGACCTCACAAATGTGTTTCATGAAGACTGGTCAAAGATTCCCATAAACACACTGATAAACCCTGTGGACAGCTTTCCCAGAAGAGTTGAAGCTGTTCTTGCTAAAAAGGCAGGACCATCATCATATTACACCCCTATGCATCAGGAATGGGATGTCAGTTATGCTTAAGGCAAATAAGCTAATGCTACTGGCGATACAGTGTAAGTTTGTGCTAATTTCTAAAAAGAATAGTCATTTTTTTTCACAGAAAAATGAGTTGTCACTATTTGTTTGCCTCTGCAAGGCACTGTACTTTAGTTGGACACACATCAAACAGCAGACCTGAACAGCTCTAAGTGACTGTTTGCTTAGCCGGGTTAACATTATGTTCACAACTATTTTGATGTTTTACACATCAACCTGCTGCAACTTTGTAAGCACATGGCAGAACTCCGACGCTTGAATGCGTAAACCACTGAGTTTGTTCTTCTGGCTGTCTCTCTTTTTTTCTCCAAAGGGATAAAGGAGTAAAATGTGCTGATGCAGCCTTTTCACTGAGCTTCAAGCCAACACCAGGACTCACAAAAGATACTCAACCGAAAATGTGGTCACTTCAGTCCCCATCTCCATACAGTCGGGAGCACAAACTGTTGGAAGTCTGTGCTGAAAGAAGGAGATATGATGAGTCAGCAGAGGGTCAGATTTAACAATAGGAAAAGTGATGAGCTGAAAGGACATTGTGTTGCATTTAAGCTTCTTTCTTTTAAAGCGAACACTTAAAAGTTCAAGAGACTCGAACAATGCCGCTCATGAAGCTCCCAAAGAAATCTAACAAGTATAAAGCATGTTATTAGACAAAGGCAACATACAGAGAGGAATAAGTAGAACATCATAAGATGACATACTAAAGTGAGACCAAGGGTAGTCGAGTGTCAGAGAAAATAAT